TCACGTATTACACCGGACATGTACTCTGCTATATTGGATTAGGTCCCTAACCCTAACCCTAAACCCTAAACCTCAGCCCTAACCCTAACCCTAACCCTAACCCCTTTGAAATAATCCTAATAAATAGAATGCATTGACCGAACCACCGGACATGTACCTACTATATTGCATTAGGTCCCCAACCCCAACCCTAACCCTAAACCCTAAACCCTAATCCTAGCCCCTAGACCCAGCCCTAGCCCTAACCCTAACCCTAATCCCTTGAATTACTTCCTTAATAAATAGAATGCATTGACAGAACCGGCACAAACACGACTGGCGTGTCTTAGTGTAATGCATTATTACCGCTTCGGAAATAAAAAATACTAATAAAACACTTTTCTGTGTAATGGTGCAACTTACTGAATGACAAAATATATATGTAACTTAAAAAATTACAAAATACAAAATACACAACACTTTAACACCCCAGCCCGTAATAATACAAATAAATATGAGCGGATTAGTGAAAAAAGAAAATATTTCAAACTGGTGCTTGCAAAATATTGCGCATCCGCCGGTATAATAACTACTGGAAACTCTCAACATCGTTGGCCTTATGCAAATGACATAGCTCGTAGAGATGAAAACACCAGTGAGCGGAGCTTATACGCACTCGCTGAGCCAGACAACCGTGTTGCCATGCAGGCGTCATAGGGCATTGTTTCGAGATCGTGCTTTCGAACAAAAATCACATTACATTACGTAAAAGGGCATTATGACGCATTTTTAAAGTTTGTGGTGCTGTATTCTAAAGGTAGGCCAATGTTTCCACCAGTGATGTTAGTCATGCGAAGCAACTGCAAACCAAGAAACGTGGTGCAACGGAGTTGTTTACTGTAGGAGGCCGTACGAGGCGATGACAACTGACATGCATCGTGACGTCGCTTACATTGTGACGTAATGTAAAATGGTTCGATTACGAGGGGCACACTAGAATGGTGCAGTGACGGGAAAGCGTCATTCAATTGTTACGTCATCAAAAACTATACCTTTATTGTCTGATAAATAGAGAATATTTATTTCAGTTCATACATACGAATTATACGAATGAGTGTCCTTCCTATGGTATCTGACCGAGCGAAAGCGAGGTCAGATAACATAGGAAGGTCACGAGTTTCGTATAATTCGTATGTAATGAGACTGGAGTGTGGTATTTTATTTATTACCCACGTCTTACATGCATTAAAACTGACAAAATAGTGTATTTTTGTTAATATTTTGGTTTCAAACCGAAACCGGTTTCATAAAGAGGTTGCGGAAAAGTTTTGTAGTGTAGTACAGTATTTGCATGACGTCACATTGTAATGACGTCACTGTCTCTGGTAACCGACGTCACGATTCATGTCAGTTGTCATCGCCTCGTACAGCCTCCTACAGTAAACTACTCTGTAGCACCCCGTTTCTTGGTTTGCAGTTGCTTCATTCTGGCTAACATCACTGGTGGAAACATTGCGTTTACGTTTTTCGACGGATATAATGTCTCAGTTCGACTCACAATTAAACAGCGACACGGCAACGTTCGCGATGTTTACATTTCCACAATGCATTTAAGTTGTAGAATGAATGAATTCACGTGTTTGTTATGAATGAAAAATAGTTACGTCAGAATGTGACCCAATTGAGAGGTCATCGGTTATCCAATCAAATCGTTAGAATCTCAGGTCAAGTCGTTACGACACAGGTCAACGCGATACGACACTCGTGTGACGTACGAGATTAGTATGCAACTACCCATACACAGTTGACCACGTGGGTAATAATGTATTTTTTTCTCGATTGTTCTAACCGCTAGGCATCTTAGAAATAACCATACGAAGTGTTTCAAGATCTCTTGCGAGCTGCAATGGTATGATCAGGTTATCTCCCTTCCATGGAAAAAGCAGCGTGGTAGGAATCGTGATTTTACGTCACATCAGAATGATTTCACAAACATCACAGAACTCTTCCGACACGAATACTGGCTTGTTACAGGCCATCAACCAGAGGCTGGGGATTAACCGTCTATAAAGTCTTGAAATCTGGAGTTTTAGAGCCAGTTAACTTGTTTGCCTCGGGAAGACAGGCGGACCCGTGAAGATCCGGGTTAGAACTGATCTTCAGTAACCAATGCTTGTCGTAAGAGGCGACTAACGGGGTCGGATGGTCAAGCTTGCTTGACTTGTTATCCCAACTGAGTAGATCGATGCTCATGCTGTTGATCACTGGATTGTCTTGGTCCAGACTCGATTATTTACAGACAGCCGCCATACCGCTGGAATATTGCTGAGTGCGGCATGAAACTACACTCGCTCACTCGGGAAGACAGCGACGGACATGCATCTAAAGAATAGGGAGTGATTCTTTCGTTACTCCCGCGTCATCAGAATAACTGGGAAAGCTACTGGTATTCGGTGTTTCGCAACACACAAACAAACAGAGTAAGTGAGAGAGTGATTATAGTTGGATGACGTTATTATATACTCATGCTAAAAACAATAAAAATTATATTAAAAATATACTCATGCCAATAATGGTTGGTAACCCCCACCCACCCCACTCCACCCCATAAAAAAAAATTAAAGGGGTGACAACCATTATTGGTATGAGTATATTTGGATGACGCTCCACGTGTGCGTGAGATAATGCTGTCTATGCATACATAGAACTTGGGATATTGCAAAATATGTTAAACATTTGCCCAGAACTCGTCAATAGAGAGTTTTACGACGACTTTTCCAAGAATTTGTTCAGTTACAAGATTGGTTAGATCAGGATAATCTACAACTTATATAGTCTCCCTTGGTTAGATGTGTCAAACGGTTAGTGTTAGCCTGACTGTATCTAAGCAACACACAGTGAAGTTTAGTTCCTCAGCGTTATATATCTGCATTCTAAGAACACGATACACGTATACCGTTTGTTTGTGAACACAGGGTGGTATTTCAGCCCTAGGAGCTAAATGATAATAATCGAATCTCTGATATCAATAATTCACCCTCATAATCATAACACAATAAAGAAGATACGTACTAGTTGACAACGTCCCCTATCACTAATGTCGAGCTTTTAACACAATGTATATATCTATTTTGTGTTTGTGTGTTCGATGGTTCAATAAGTGGTTTCGAAAGGTTTTACCATTTAACAATATAAAGATTTCATTTTGAACCTCACAAACGACAGAATCAAGGAAGCATGTAATGTGAAAGGATTATTATTATCATTATTCATAATATCGCAAACTATGCTGTATTGATGTTTATAATCCACTTATATTTCAAGATATCACAAATTAATAACAGATTTCACTAATAGATTATACGATATGATAAATGAATTATTTTAACAAGTACTTCAAGGTATCATTCAATAATATTTTTAAAAATATCAAACTTGTTACATCTACATTTCTTTCTTTTTGTTAAACTATTCGATAAAAATCGAATGTCTATAAATATTTAATTTATATATATATATAGCATACAATATGGAATAAATGGTAAAACGCTGCTTTGTAACTATCATAACACGGACTTTAAAGAGCAACACACATGAAAAGTATGTAAATATGTCTGTGAGTTGTTAGTTTTACGCTGTGATATTGCTGAAAGCAGCGTTAAACCAAAGTCACTCACCCATTACGCTGCGTTTAACAATGTTACAGCAATATCGCGGCGGGGAACACAAGAAATAGGCTTCACACATTGAAACCATGGGGAATCGTACCTGGGTCTTTGGCGTGACGAGCAAACGCTTTAACCACTAGGCTACTCCACCGGTGTTCGGAAAAGTACCGGTAAAAAGTACTAAATTTGTTCTACTTTTACGCTTTTTATAACAAATGTTAAGAAAAAAAATTAGATATTCAGGTTTTAATACTTTATTCACATACAACAATGTAAATTGACAAATACACATTTGCAGGACTTTTTTAATTTTTAATACTTTCTTCACATAGGCACTTTACAATGCAAATTGATAAAATTGCGAAGCTGGTTTGTTTGGTAGCCTTATAGTCAAAGCGTTCGCTTATCAACTCAAGACTAAGATTCGATTTTAAAATAAGGTACAATGTGTGAAGCCCATTTCTGGTGTCCCCCGTAGTTACTTAAATCATGCTAATTGCGGCGTAAAACCATGCTCGCTCACTCACTTTAGGCGAAGCAATCATCAACAATCAAGCTACATCCTGGCGTTCTAGCTTCACATATAAAAATAGTGTATCCAAGAGAGAAATCGAAATGGGAAATGTTCGTTGTCAGTAGGTACAAACCAAATAATACATCGTTGTTGCAATACCACCTGGCGAGTCGATCCAGGGGAGATAATTCGTCAATATAGAAAATTGACCTCAAGATACGAAGCAAAATATTGGGAAAAGGACATATTCTGTATCTGTTTAACTGTCAACAATTTCGGTTATAGTGGAAATCAATGGCATTGTGAAATAAACTTTAAGCTAATATTGAAAAAGACGACTCATGTCAGTGGAAAAGTTGTGCCATAAATGCTTTATTTAGATCTAGTCTTGTATCAATATCGCAAGTGCGCACTTACGTGCATTCAAGTGAATTTTCAACAAAATCAGCATCTTCAATCCAAACAACTGTTTACTATGAAAGATTTGTCTGACAAGACGCCCCCACACATATTCTGTTGTCTGTGTGCTGGTGTGAAAATAGTCCAAGTGGTGATTACAACAGAATATAACATATAGGGTGTCTATTTAGTTTTTCCTTTCGTGTAATAATGCCTCTATTGTCCTTCAGGATGGAGAAAATCCTCCAGCAAGTCACGACTTATGGACATCCGCTGTAATTACTCCCCCTGTTAATTAGTCTTTACAAACAGTTAAAATCTACGTGATTAGCCTAAAGCTAAGGAACCGTGCATTGAATGAAAAAGATCCGACCAACAGTCTGTCAACATCCGGGTCACTAGCTCCATGGAGCCTCGTTATGATGTCAGCGTACTGATCACCGCCATTTTGGTTATAATTTGGCGAAAATATGTCCATAGAAGCTCATCCTGTAACCCATATACAGGTTGAAAATGTATCTGGTAAGATTAAACAGACGCAATGAGTCTTCATTTCTTAAAGTAATGAACAGTGTAATCCAAACTATGGTTGATGACCTAGTTAGAACGTGTTAATTTGGGTGTAGTTCCACAACCTTCTTACTCGCCCCGAAATACTTGGCGCAGTAATACGCTTCAATATGAGGGAAGGTATTCCTACTCCCTAAGTTAGTTCCTCGGTTCATTGTACCGCCGCGGATGTTAGCAAAATGTCCTCATCTGTATGTTATCTACCTAAAGTCAGGAATTCAATGTAAACTGTGCAAGCAGTGTCTGGGCCATATTCTTTCCTCCGACAACGAGGACATCGAGTATGAACGCTCAAATGCTTCTTGCAAGCGCGAGATTTGCCCATGTAACACAAGACATTGAAAAAGTTAATAAAGTTCCACTTGTATTACTCATATTTCGTAGATATCATATTGCTTTGATTGTCCCAAATATTTGTGTCAGAGCCATTGCCTAAATGTGTGCCTTGAAATGGCATATTGTGCATGGCTTTGAAGTCGTGAGGGGGTATAAAATTTATAAATCAATCTTTGTCAGTGTTATGATGTTGTATCTGAACTCTAATGTCCCTCATATACCTGGTGTTGACTTATTGTTGTTGTAGATGAAGTAGAAAGATTGACATTTATCATTCTGGAGTTATATATCACTTTATTTTAAATCTTCAAGCATCTAAAACCAATTTGGAGAGTGGATAAACATTTTAACTGTGAAACATTTAGGAACATTTAGCCAGTTATAATATTATTGTATTGTACCTTCACTTAACCAGTATAAAGAGATGTTAGTCTCAAGGATTTAACATGTCTCTTGTTACGATACGAAATGAATAAGTGCAAAATAAACAGATTGAGAAAAAAGTTTGAACTAAAGAGGCAAAACTATACATCTCTACTTTGTCATGAAATCTTTTCATGGGTACAATGTGTTCAGCCCATTTCTGGTGTCCCCTGCCGTGATGTTGCTGGAATATTGCTAAAAGCGTAAAAAACCAAACTCAGTCAGTGAAATCTTTTACTTTTCCTACAAATTGTGAAGTGGAAGAACATCAAGCTCTTTTACTATTATTAGTTTAGTTATTAACACAATACACACCACAACATTCTGTGAGATAGACGCCTACTAAGTAATGTTGTGGAACAATATGTACCATGAGTTTTGTAATGTCATTTGAAGTCCAACTAAGAGTAGTGCACTGATCATGTTTATACCATGTCAATGCCAACCTGTAGGGGTGAAACGGTATGCTCTTACCACGGTACGTATTGCAGTACAAGGCCTTCGGTTTGGTATATAAGATATGATCATAATGCAGAAAATTGACGAGCCATCTGGCAATGACATGCATAGATTTTGACAAAATGATTTGATTTCAAGACATTTTAGAAAAGGTTTCAAAAGTTTAAGAAAAGGATGATATGAAAACAGAAAATACCAAATTTTTGGGATTGCATTACGGTATACCTAACCGAAGAAGACAAAATACCGCTGTTCTACTAATACCATTATAGCATTATGGCCTGAACAGTTTCTAACAGTGCTCCTTCAGTTGAGACTTATCTTGCACAAGTCACTGGGCCTTTTTGTATAAATTTGCTTTTTGTCTGTTTTAAAACGCATCTAAAACACCCAGGTGGTTTATGTCTTATTCAGAATATTGTAGTTTGATGGACGTATAACTGCCAGTGAATAATTTCTAACTAAATAGTCACAGCAGCAGTATTCACTGAATTATACAGCATGTCACAGAGGGCTGTGTCAAAGCAGAATACAGTATTACATCAGTGTGCATGTCAGTTTCATTCTCATCTCTCTAATAGGTATGACCCGTGAAGATCCAGGGTAGAATAGGTCTTCAGCAACCCATGCTTGCCACAACAGGCGACTATGCTTGTAAGAGGCGACTAACGGGATTGGGTGGTCAGGCTCGCTGACTTGGTTGACACATGTCATCGGTTCCCAATTGTGCAGATCGATGCTCATGCTGTTGATCACTGGATTGTCTGGTCCAGATCCTATTATTTACAGACCTCCGCCATATAGCTGGAATATTGCTGAGTGCGGCGTAAAACTAAACTCACTCACTCTAATGGGTATACTATATTTCTCATTATATATATTTAAAGTGTAACAATTGTTTAAGCTTCAGATAGTCTAGAAACTGACAAAGAAGGTCAATGTATGTATATTTTAGAGTCATATGTAAGAAACCTAAAACATATTTATGTTTTAAAAGTAGGTGTCTGGATGGATCTGGTGGTGATCAGATTCTGTGATTTGGTTCCTTATGTGGATCAGTGCTCACAATATTAATCACTGGCTTGCAGGAATGCAGCATCGATCACACTAATGTACTGTTGTGCAAAATATTGACACTATGAGATTTCTCTCTTTGCATCATTGTGTATTGTAAATTGTGAACTGGGCACAATTGCAGACAAATGTCATTTACCATTACCGCAACAGAAAGCACTGTAAGCTTATGGTAACTCTTTTCCATTTAGACAGGAAAGATAAAAAAAATCCTTATCACAGGCCAGATTTAGAAAACATATCTAAACTACCCATCAAAAGTTTAGACTCACTTAAAGCGCTCACTATATGTTATGTATGTATGTAATATGGTTACATCGAAGATGAACTTCTCCTCTAACTTTGGGTCACCTACTGCAAACCTTATGCAGATGAATAACACGAGGATCATGCTTCAAATTGCTGGAAAGCATGTGCAAATATCATGCATGTGAACAGCTGCATTCTGGTGTAAAGTTTTGTTAAGAATTCGCCAATTTTCGCTGAGTTTCATCATTTACTGAACTCATGACAATAATCTTTTCATCGTTACAAATTGTTTTACAATACATCAGTTCATATGTAAACAGTAACTTTAAACAGTATGGAATATTTTGCAAAATCTAGTTGACTGAGATAAGTGGCTACATGTACACTAGTGAGTCTTAACTTATGATAGGTAGTACATACATATTTGGCAATGATACAATTACAAATTCACATGGACACTCAGGTCAGGAAGTTTTGCTGTTTTTCTTCTTTTCATTAATTATCTAAATACCATCACCTGGGTTAAGGACAGTGACTAAGGTGGCCCAAAATGCCAAATACTGCTGTAGAACCCAACAAATCTTCACATGTGTGACATGAATCCTTCATGGGAGGTAACTCTGTATGTTAGGTTGATCTTAGTTCCAAGTAATAGGATTAGTGCAGAGAGATTTTCAAGCTTGCAAAAACTGAAACAAAAAACACTGTCAGTTTATCCTTTTTATCTCTAACACTGCCTCTCTAATGCCTTTATTCTTTATTCTTGAATATTGCTTTCTTTACAGAGCATCAAGTTGGAATTTACTCTAAAACTGAATCCAAATATTTTATGGATTTTTTTTTCACGTAACAAATATATTTTCTTATGGTTGTATATAGCTGGGTTTATGTAATCCCTCTATAGCTTTGCAAGTAATTGATTGACTTGTCAAACAACTCATGCAGAATATTTTTTAGACTCTCTGTCTTGAGCGGCTCTTGTAGGTGCACCAGAATCCTATGGTCATGGGTACAGTTTAAAGGTTTGAAGAGCAGTGTTTCACCAAATACACCATTGCGACCATAGTAGTGGTGGTGCGGACTGTAATCTTATATAAACTGGTGCTGACACCATCATCCTCCGGTTTGTCTGGTCCAGACTTCATTATAGACGTTGTGATAACACTGTAGTACTGCACACTTACTCTATTTGAGAAACAAAACAACACAGTAAGGGACGCGTAGGGATTTACGGGACTCAATTCCTGCGTCCTATAGGGACGCAGAAAAAGGCCAAATACTTTTGTAAAATTTCAATAAGTTATCACTGAGTCTGCTACTAGCTTGATTATGGTATCATTCACAGTTTAATTACTGTAACAATGTGATGATCATGATACACAATACAATAACAGTAACTGAATTACAACAATGTTACAACATAGTAAATATTAATAATAATATTTAAGTGTCTGGGACCCCCCATTTTGTAGTCCAGGACCCCTGAAAATTAAGAGTATGAGTCCCAGGGACCCTCAAATACAGGCCTTAGGGTAAATCCCTGGACACGTCTGGCCCTATTGTCTTAGACATTGCATTTCACAATATAGAGTTACTACTAGGACTGCATGGTATTACCGGTATACCGCAATACGAATTTCAGACGATACCTATTTTAATAATTTTTCTGAGAACCGGATTATTGGCTAAAACACATCTCTTGAGTTTTTGTGATTATCTTAATGGTTTGAATTAAAATCTACATAGATTTTCATTCACCACAGATCTTTCCTTCATTTTTCAATGACAAAAGCGGCATACAGTAAAACTATGAATTGTATAAGAAAGAAACTAGAATCCCTGAGTATGCAACCTAATTTTGAGATTGCTGTTATCCGAACCATATCATATATTTTCAGGGCCTTATAATGTAGCAAATAGGATCGACATGTACAATTGGTTTCACTTACTGTCAAACACAAGTTCCCAATATATCGCAATACGGGTACCTGAATTGTAATATATTGCAATACAATTTATTTGCCAATACACAGCCCAAGTTATACCAGAAGCACAATCATGGGTTGAATCCAGCTAAGACCCAGGTATGTTTCCTGGTGTGTCAGCTCCATACCAAGGGTTTCACTACACAATAAGCGTCTAAGGTCTGCATCAATCCAGGTTTTCAACCCAAATGTAGCTGACCAGCCATTATGTAACTGGAAAAAAGTATATCATGATAAACCAGCACACTCACTAATGGATGGGTACAATGTGTGAAGCCCATTTCTGGTGTCCCCTGCCATGATATTGCTTGAATATTGCTACAAGGGGCGTAAAACCAAACTCACTCACTCACTAATGGACCCGTGAAGGTCTGGGCTAAAATTGATCTTCAGTAACCCATGCTTATCGTAAGAGGCGACTAACGGGACGTGTCAACCAAGTCGGCGAACCTGACCACCCGATCCCATTAGCTGATATACATGTACTCCCAAGTAGACTACATTATGAAAAAATAGTTCAGGAATAAAATGTGAGGTTATAAGAGAAGTTTTTTTCTCTCATAAAAGAACCAGTTATTCCCTGTATGTCACGTTACACCTTTTGTCAGTTGCAGATTATGCCCAATATATCACCCATGCAACGCCAGTCCATGTTATGACAGATGGCGTCCCAGAGGGCGTCACCATGACTTTCATCGAGCACACAGTGCTCGATGCCAACCAGGTCTTGGAGCCACACCAAACCATCGAGGTGTACCAAGCCATTCAGCAGGGTGTCCTAGAGCAGGTTGTGTTGGAACAGCCAATCATAGCACAGATATCAAATGGTGCAGCTGATGTCCAATCAGATATCAAGCCGCCTGTTGGCAAGGTAAGCCGATTTAGTCGATCTTTTGAATTATATAATTGTTTTTATTAAAGCTTCCAAAACATTTATTGTTATAATTAGTAACATGTTGTTTAGTACCTCAATACACATTACAAATTGAGCAGCATTATGTAGTTTTGTAATGAAATTGTAGAAAGTCATTTCATTTGAGCTTCAGTTTCCCAAGAATGGAGTAATTTAGGATAGTAGAAAATTGGTACTAAAACACATTTTCACGTAAAAAAATCTCTTTGAGGGGATATGATATCAGCAGCTGGAAAACAACAATTCAACCACTGGCCATTTTCCATGTTAGCACCAATGAACATGATGAAATTTATTTTTGTGCGAGATTTTTTTAATGTAATGTCATGGAAAAGTAGCATAATTCCCTGGAGAAGACAATAGGGCTGGTTAAAAGATCGATAATCGGAAATATCGTCAATGGGAATTTTTTTTAATGATTAGGGACCGTTCATAATTTATGGCTAGGGGGGTGATGATGATTTTAAGGGGGGAGTCACCCATTTATTCTGGGGAGCTAGGGGGTCATCAATTTTGTACACACATTCTAGGGGTCATCAATTTTGTACATGAAAGTATGTTTAAATTTATGCTTAGAAATTAAAGGAAGGGGAGGGGGGATAATTGATTTTGTACATGACATGCAGGAGGGGGGGGTTCACTTATTTTGTACATAAATTTTAGGGGGGTCATTCGCATTGTACATGCTTCTCCATAAAAATCATCATCACACACACTCACACACCCTAGCCATAAATTATGAACGGTCCCTTATCGAAATGAAATTGTGTCATTGATAATATTGTACAAAAGCTGTTGTGATGAAATAGAGTTTTCACAAGCACAGACAATGCAGAAAGGTAGGTTTATATTTATGGGCTGCTTCTAAGTTATGTTCAGGACCATGATTTTGTTAGTCATCCAAGCCTAAATATGTTACCATTCACCAAATTTGTTAAATATTTTTATTTCTTTCAGATTTTTAAAAACATTTTGCTCAAAGCTACTTTTGAAATATACAGTTAATGATTACCGATCTCTATGATCTTCATTAATAGCCTGGCCAAGAAGTATATCAAAAGTAAATTGTCAGGCAAATAATGTTTGAACGCCACTTTTTATTGCAGGAATAGGAATTTGAATGTTGTTTAAAATTTCTAAATGTGACTCATTCTCAGACAGAAGATACAGATGATTTCTGCAACCTATTTATCTATTACAGGGCCCATTCAACTGTGAACTATGCGACAAGATCTTCAAGAAATGGAACCAGCTGCAGCGTCACATGAAATCCCACGATGAGGATAAACCATTTCGATGTCTACAGTGTCCTGTGTCTTTCAACATGGAGGACAACCTCATCCTCCACCAGGCCACCCACGTGGCGGAGAACGGTGTCCCCACATGTCCGGAGTGCAACAAGAAGTTCTCACGGGTTGCCAGTCTCAAAGCTCACATCATGATGCACGAGAAAGAGGAGAACCTGATGTGCCCAGAGTGTGGAGACGAGTTTAGTGTACAGGTATGTAGGGCTACCACTAGCTTCCATCATAAAGTTACATGTTAGAATCAGCCTTCAAACCATGCTTGTGGTAAAATGCAGCTAACAGGATTAGGTGGTCTGACTACCTCACTTGATTTGTGCATGTCATCATGTCCCAATTGCATGTGAGGTGTGCAGAGTTGTCTCCCTTTTCCTTGATGTACCTATCAAAGGTGTGACTGAAAGATTTGCCATGAACTTAACACTTGCTTTGTCATGCCCATACCACTGCTCTCAGGTTTCATGACAAATCCCATACTCACCATTATTTTAATGAAATTCTGATCTACAGGAACGTGAAAGCCAGTTCTTCCATAGTGTTTGTATGGTCATTACACTAAAGATATGCATTGATGATTTACTTTACGTGGCTGTCCCATTCTTTCCAACAGACATTAATTTGATTGGTTGAGTGCATGGGTTTTGCAATTCAACAATGAATCCAGTGTCTTTGAGCCTTTTTTCAGTTTGATAGCATAGTTTCGTGTAATAGTTAAAGTGTCCTACTTTCATAAGCTTATTTTGGTATCAGTTTCATATGATCATTTTGGTGTCATGCTTTCATGAGATATTTTGGTGTCATGCTTTCATAAGATATTTCTGGTGTCATGCTTTCATGAAATAATTTCTGGTGTCATGCTTTCATTAAATCCTTCTGGTGTCATGGTTTCATTAGATCTTTTTGGCGTCCTGCTTTCATGCGATCCTTTTTGGTGTCCTGCTTTCATTAGGTCCTTTTGGTGTCATGCTTTCATGATATCATTTTGGTGTCATACTTTCATAATATTATTTGGTTTCATGCTTTCATGAGATCCTTTTGATGTCATGCTTTCATGAGATTATGTGGTGTCATGCTTTGATGAAATATTTCTGGTATCATGCTTTCATGAAATCATATTGGTGTCATGCTTTCATGAAATCCTTTTGGTGTCATGCTTTTGTGAGATCATTTTGGAGTTATGCATTCATGAGATCATTTTGGTGTCATGCTTTCATGAAATCATTTTGGTGTCGTGCTTTCATGACATCATTATGTCTTCCTACTTTCATGGCATTATGGTGTCCTACTTTCATGGTAGTATAGTTTCATACAATAATTTTCTTGTCATACTTTTATACTATTATGTTGCTAACATGGTTTCATACTATCAACATATTACATCAGAACATAATGTTATAAAGTTATGTTCCTCATGGTAGATCCAAGTCTAAAGGACCCGTGAAGATCCGGGGTAGAATAGGTCTTCAGCAACCCCTGCTTGCCACAAAAGGCGACTATGCTTGATGGCGACTACTAAAGGGATCGGGTGGTCAGGCTCGCTGAATTGGTTGACAAATGTCATTGGTTCCCAATTGCGCAGATCGATGCTCATGCTGTTGATCACTGGGTTCTCAGGTCCAGACTCGATTATTTACAGACCGCCGCCATATAGCTGGAATATTGCTGAGTATGGCATAAACCTAAACTCACTCACTCACTCCAAGTCTAAAGAATGAGACCCTTTAGATTATTGTCTCTCTTTGTTTGGCATTGATTTGGATCCCAGATTCATGGAAAATGCTCCATGTTTTTTCTGCACCAAACTTGCATCAACATCTCTTGCATCAACATGGATATAAAAGGCAACTTGACTCTCTCAACTCATGAAGACTATGAATTTTATTCAATAGATAAACATGAATGGTATAGGGAAGCATGTGGTTGGGGAAAAATATCAGCGCCTTGAGCAAGCAATAGTTGCCTGGATATGTGCGCTATATAAGTATCCTGTAATAATAATAATAATAAAGTTGTACTAGTGTTGTTGCACCATGTGATTTCAGAGTCAGCTGGATCGACACATGCAGGAACATCGAGAGGAGCACGAGGGAGCAAGACGGCACGCCTGTCGGCAATGTAACCAAGACTTCTCCAAACTGTCCCTCCTCAGGGAACACATGAAACAGCATTACAAAATCAAGTATGTCAGACACAATACGCTTACTTGTTGTTTCTTCTTGTCAGCCTGAAAGCACATGTTGTATTTACTAAATCTCTTTTTGTTTTGTTTTTGAGAACCTTTCCGGTTCATGCAGATTATATATTGTTTAAGGTACTGTCACATTATTATCATTTTGTATTGCAATGGAGATGTGTCAATGGCATAATGTCTTCTTGCATTATTATAGATCAAGGTTTCTTGATTTTAGAAAAATATGAAGAGCAGTTGATTATGAATACATGGGTTTACATGTTACAGGGCATCGTATCCTCTTTAGGATACTGTGGTACTGGTAGAAATGGTTCAATGAACCAGTGCTCAGTGTCAGGCTCATCGATTTGACTTGACAGCATGGGATATACGTCAGAATGTCATACAAACAGGATGTTGAATTATTTGGATTATATTAGGTGATTTTATGGTGTTGCTTACAGGGCATCTCTGTCTCATCGGACATACAAGAGGAACATTGATCGCTCTTCCTTCCATCATAAATGCAAACACTGCACCAAGACATTTCAGAAGCCCAGTCAGCTGCTGAGACATGAGAGAATACACACAGGTAGGTTACTGAGACGTGAGAGAATACACAGAGGTAGGTTACTGAGACGTGAGAGAATACACACAGGTAGGTTACTGAGACGTGAGAGAATACACACAGGTAGGTTACTGAGACATGAGAGAATACACACAGGTAGGTTACTGAGACGTGAGAGAATACACACAGGTAGGTTACTGAGACATGAGAGAATACACACAGGTAGGTTACTGAGACATGAGAGAATACACACAGGTAGGTTACTGAGACATGAGAGAATACACACAGGTAGGTTACTGAGACATGAGAGAATACACACAGGTAGGTTACTGAGACATGAGAGAATACACACAAGTAGGTTACTGAGACATGAGAGAATACACACAGGTAGGTTACTGAGACATGAGAGAATACACACAGGTAGGTTACTGAGACGTGAGAGAGAATACACACAGGTAGGTTACTGAGACATGAGAGAAACACACACAGGTAGGTTACTGAGAGACGTGAGAGAATACACACAGGTAGGTTACTGAGACGTGAGAGAATACATACAGGTAGGTTACTGAGACATGAGAGAATACAGGTAGGTTACTGAGACACACACAGGTAGGTTACTGAGATGTGAGAGAATACACAGGTAGGTTACTGAGACATGAGAGAATACACACAGGTAGATACTGAGACATGAGAGAATACACACAAGTAGGTTACTGAGACATGAGAGAATACACACAGGTAGGTTACTGAGACATGAGAGAATACATACAGGTAGGTTACTGAGACATGAGAGAATACACACAGGTAGGTTACTGAGACATGAGAGAATACACACAGGTAGGTTACTGAGACATGAGAGAATACACACAGGTAGGTTACTGAGACATGAGAGAATACACACAGGTAGGTTACTGAGACATACAGAGGTAGGTTACTTAGACATGAGAGAATACACACAGGTAGGTTACTGAGACATGAGAGAATACACACAGGTAGATACTGAGACATGAGAGAATACACACAAGTAGGTTACTGAGACATGAGAGAATACACACAGGTAGGTTACTGAGACATGAGAGAATACACACAGGTAGGTTACTGAGACATGAGAGAATACATACAGGTAGGTTACTGAGACATGAGAGAATACACACAGGTAGGTTACTGAGACATGAGAGAATACACACAGGTAGGTTACTGAGACATGAGAGAATACATACAGGTAGGTTACTGAGACATGAGAGAATACACACAGGTAGGTTACTGAGACATGAGAGAATACATACAGGTAGGTTACTGAGACGTGAGAGAATACACACAGGTAGATTACTCAAACTTGAGAGTACCAGTGAAGATCCGGGTTTGAATTGGTCTTCTTATGCTTGTCATAACAGGCACTAACAGGTTCAGGTTGTCAGGCTCGCTGACATGGTTGACACATGTCATCATATACCAGTTGCTCAGATTGATGCTCATGATGTTGATCACTGAATTGTCTGGTCAGGACTCGATTATTTACAGACCGCTGCCATATAGGTAGAATATTGCCTAGTTAGATAACAAACTTGAGAGAATATATAGAGGTAGGCTACTGAGACAGAATGTACATGGGCAGAGTGGTGAGATGAGAGAATATGCTCAGGCTCGTGAGACAAGAAAAAAGCACACATGTGACCTCCAGAGCCTGAGAATGCTCATTGATGCTGCTTTTACACTAGAGAATGCTTTAATAGTGTGTTGTTACCTATTTTCAATTCACACCAACAAATAAGTTATACTTATTGGTTTGTTAAATGTGACTCTCTGTGTAATATATGTATCTGATTAAATACATGACTTTTCTTGTGGGATTGTTTAGGTGAGCGTCCATTCAAGTGTAAGATCTGCAATAAGGCTTTCAACCAGAAAGGCGCACTACAGATCCACACCAGCAAACACACTGGAGAGAAACCTCACATGTGTGAGTTCTGTCCCATGACATTTGCTCAGAAAGGAAATCTGAGAGCGCATATACAGGTATGGAAACACAGCTGTTGACACATGGTGGAAAATGGTTTGTAATGGTGCTGTCAGCACCTGATTTGTTTGTCCTAGACTTGATTCTTTAAAACCAAATCATATAGGTTGAATATTGCTGACTGTTCACATTCACTCATCCTATTTTGAGATTGCCAAGGCCATCTTTCTAAATGTAATTCATGTGAAACTGAACCGTTGAATTCTTGCGAGTTCAAATCATAGTTAATTCCTTGTTTTTTTCAGCGTGTGCACAATATTGCCAAAGACGGAAGTCGACCAGCATTTGAGTGTGAAGAGTGTAGCTGTGTTTTCAAGAAACTGGGGAGTCTCAATGCCCACATCAGCAGGGCACACTCTGACACATCGGTACGTCCTGAAAGTACCCGTTTCATTGCCATGGTTGTGTGTTGTTTGTGAGAAGCTTGCAATAATTTTCCTCATATAGAAACAGATCTGTCTGATCTGGAATGATTTACAACTGACTTTCACATTTGTAATACAGACATTACACAAACCATGATCTGTTTAGGACTTGCCAACTCAGGTAGAGGTGAGACGAGTTGGCGCGGAGGAAGCCAAGAGTCTCAATGAAACTGTTATACAACAACTCCTGGAGCTGTCAGGACCAGGCCGCTGTCATGGACGGCACCGATGACGAGCAGGTCCAGGACCAGGACATACGTCAGAAGCAGGTGCTTGACCAGGACCAGGTGAGAAATTGGACATACACCTAACCAATACAACTGTATCCTTGACCCAACCCCTCCACCCCCATAGAACCATACTTACTCTCTGAAATTACATTGTTTAACAAGGCTACCTACCATCTAGTTAGACAAAACAATGTTATTTGCTGAGTGAGGTATATCTAGTTATACCCCGTTGTATACAAAATGTTATTTTTTCTTATCCTGACTCATGTTTATTTGCTTGTCTTCTTCTTCTGGCTTAACCTAGTGGAACACTTGTATCTCCCAATTGAAGTTCCCTTCAATAAAAATCACTCATTAGCACTGACCACGAAGTTACCTCCCTTCCACAAGCTGAACGAGGGCTTCACCTGAACCCATGTGCCTCACTCTCTCCTTCTTCACCTAGTGAGCAAGACGGAGAGCACCTGTGTCTCCCCTGCACACTATATCCTTTATTTATATTTAGTTTGTTACCTCTTATATTCATCTATAGAGGTGTAACTAGTATCATTATTCAACATGCATTGATAATTATTCGTGTTTCTGCTGCTTGATTCACGGTTCGCCGTGGTTGCTCAGCAGTTTGCTAATAAAAATCTGCACTGTTTGTAAATTACGCTACTCTGCTACCGATCCACATTTAAAATGCCCTAGTTGCATTACTCCATGTTCTATTGTTTCTTGTTGTAAATTATATATTAATTTACCAATTTCTGCCTTTGATAAATATTTATGTTCCGCTTTGAGACGGAAGGCAGATAAATCTCGGAAACAATCTTCAGTCATGGCTAATAGATCGGAGTCAGATATATCCTGAGTTACCTTCGGGGGATAAGCGTGGGACGCAGTCCGCTATATCTAGAAGCGACCTGATTCCCAGGACGCTCCTTCATCACAGTATAAAACTAGAAGAACTTCCACGCCGCTCTCAACGTATGCTCCGAGCCCCCAGGTTTACAGCCTCGTCAAAGGGAAATCCACGAAGACTACTAAAAAACTTTGCTTCTGATATTCAGAATTATGTTTATATGATGATGACATTTCGATTATCATTCCAGATGTATGTCATAAGAAGTGACCAGTACGGCTACCGTCACTTCAGCGCAGATCAACATGCAATCAGAGATGCCTACGCTGACGCCGGAGATTATAACTGAGGGTCCCGTCACTATCACAGAGAGGACACCCTCAACGCCAGCGCAGACCATCCCAGACGACCTGGTCAACCAAATCATGAGGCTGATGGAAGACCGCTACGGCTTACAGAGGCCTCAGAGCCACGGGCCCCAGAGCCCACCCCATACTAAGTCATACAGGGCCCCAGAGCCCGCCTTTGACTTCGCTGTGAGGGCCCCTGAGCCCATAGACGCCCCTCGCTGGCGGGCAACCCTGCCCGAGTGAGCTCTTTGCATAAGGTATCCCAGGCAGCCCGAAGGAGCTAGAGTCTGACCCTTTGCAAGAGGCTTTCATGGAGAAGGAGTGCTTCGCCTAGCACGCACCTTGTCATGTACGGCGGGCGCTCGCAGCAAGCACTCATATGTCGGATCGACACTGACTCCAGACATTCGCGCAAGACGCTGGCTAAGTGGTTCTACAACGCCTTAGAAGACGCTCAAGCGCAGCCCTCAACGCTCGAGAAGCCCAGAGCGCCGGGCGGCCATCACCGCTCTCGGCCCACAGTTCCGCTGGCGATGTCTTCTCAAGGTCTACATACACTAGCCAATCGCCAGTCCGCTCTCCTCAGTCCTCACATAGATCTTCTTACAGATCGAGGTCTCCGACATACCACCATACGCCAGAGGAAGACGATGGTATCATTTAAGATCGGACTCTAGACACTTCGCTAAGGAAGTCCCAGGTCACCTCCGCCAAGGAGCTACAGCCTCACCAATTGAGAGGGACATCGCGAGAAGGAGCGCTCACGAGCCCACACCCTGTAGAACACAGAGGTCGCTCGCATGGGCAAGCCATATATTAACTCTGACTCGATACTTTCGCTAAGGTCGCTAAGGCTAAGTGGCTCCAAGTCTATTTCACCCAGAAGATCTAGAAGCGCATTTCGAGATCTTCGCTAAGTCCCCGGCGCTCACGAGGAAGTCTCCTCCAAGGTCTCCATATACTAGCCACTGGCCATATATAGCCACTCGCCAGTCCGCTCAAGACATCACATGAGTTGTTTATCAACTGTAAGCCATATGCCGCCTACAAGCCTACGCTAAGACAATTGCACAGGCTATTTACAACACACAACGCCGCTGTATTAATTTATCAACGGATGAAGAGCCTAATTAGGATCTTCGCCGACTACCTACTACGATATACGATTATCTACATGCGACCTTTACGCAGATCTGCAGACAATTCAAAACGAAATTGAACAGCAGTCTTGTTACAGCGAGTAAAACTCATAATCGCCAACGATTTCCTCAGAAGTATATGTATGTACAACAAGTTCAGCTTTAACAGTCTACAAGCTGACAACTTGCAAGGTTATTGAACCTTATATAAAGAAGTCGGAATTATCTTCAAGACTGAAGTTACTTTCACGACAACCTGGAAAATAACTTATCCAGCATTAATATTACAGAGCGAGGTATTTCATACCGAGGTTTCGCTACTTACCATCAACCCTCAAACACGTATCACTGGGTAACTTCGAAGTTACGGTGAAGACCGACGATTGTTCTAATATCAACGACGGCACTATATTATACAAGGTTCCTTTCCTGATACACCGGTGACGCCACAGCTGGTACTCTACAGAATCAAAATGCCTTGTTCTGATTGGACCGAGATGGACAACGCCTCACGCAGAGGTCGATCATAGTTCACAGTTCAACACATAGGTTGCAAGTGACAACAATATATCAGTGAACGAGCAAGCCTCCTTACAGTCCAGCTAATCTAAACCTTCATGATTGGGCTGCCTTCTTGAGGTTAGAGACCTCCCCTGTCAAGTAAGACGAGGACACGGCAGTCAGACGATTTTTTACATAAAGTTCAACGATGGCAGTCACCCCTGGTTATGCATCTACATCGCCAAGCACTTCGCAGCTTAATTTACCTCGACGACGGGATACAAATGGATCCAAATCCATAGCGCCTCAGACTACAGTTGAATTCATCATCAAGCTACTAACACAACTAGATGGTTAGTAAACCTACTTAAGTTGGACCTAGAACCTTCGCAAGATCTGCTATTCTAGGTTTTTGATTTGTAACGGCGCAGAATCGTATAATTGTACCGAGGACCATGGATCAAGATCCAACAGTCATTTCCACAAGCCTTACTATCTCCACTACCACTACGACAGTGACAGAGTCTGTTGGGGTTACGACTTCAGCTCAGCTCAAGACATGACAGACAGAGGCAGACTACAATTACATCCGCTACAAGTCATCAGCACTTCGCATCTAGACGAATCTCTACCGCTCAATCATCGGTTCAGGTCAAACCTCATCTACTATGATGCACCAAGAGATCGAATGTTTGAATAGGCGCCTCGCTAATAGAGCTGGAATCGATAACACTTCTCACGATGTGTCACTATATAGGTTGGGAGCCCATCTTGCCAACAGGACGGCATCAGGGCTATGAGCAATCAAGAGAGCAATTACACATAAATTTGCTAGAGATGCAAGCAGTAATAAACGCTTTAATACACTGGAGCAACTTACTACAGTATACCCAGTGGATGATTCACACAGTCAATTCGACAGTGGCGCTTTTATGTGAACAACTAAGCTCAACCAGGTCCCCTAACATATCGACTCTGTTTTCAATTGTTCGATTTAATCAACAATCTCAACATACATACATGTCAGAGCATATCACATTCCAGGAGCAAAGAATGTGATAGCAGACGCTTCTCTCTCGCCACACATACCATCGCCGACAGAATGAATGCTCCATACAGAGATATTCACTCAAATTATCAAGGAAATAGGAACTACACTAATAGACCTATTTACCATTCGATTCAACAAGCAACTGACAACATTCAGATCGCCAGTTCCAGACCCACTAGCATTGGCAACAGACGACTAAGCATATCGTGGAAGGTCTCAACGCCAGACGCTTTTCCGCCACCAGCGCTAATCTCACAAGTTTACTCTAAATCAGTCTAAAGCAGAGCCTCCATCTGATTTTGGTCACGCCTACTGACCAGCGAGGAAGTGGTTTCCAACTCTTATTCAAGAAATCGACAACCAATACTACACCTTACAGAGTGCTCAATAACAAGCGCATGGAAAGCCAGATATATTCCAACTCCACGCATGGATTGTATCATATGCGGTCTGAATAACAAGTTATTCAGCCAGAGCTGCAAAGCAGTCTAACTTGCCCCGCGTAACTCAACTGGCAACTTATACGATGACAAATGGCACAGTTTTGTCAATTATGCTGCAAAGGAAGGATTTACAGCTAGATATGCTACTCATCCTCAAGTGGCGGACTACTTATGTTATCTACGCCAGACTAAGATTTTATAAGGCGCAGCTTGTCCACCTATCTTGCAGCAATAGCTCTATCATAACTGAGAATGGGCCAAGTTAACCTAACCCAGTTACTCGCCTGCTACGAGCTTTCCGATTGAGGATTAAAACGAAGTTCACGCCCAACTTGGGATCTGAATATAGTGCTCCAACACCTCACAAGTGAGGTTTATGAACACGCTTTGATGATATACTTGAACCCCATGATACGATGAATCTATCACGATGGCCAGTAATAGCACTAAAAATATATCTCCACCGAGCCAAACAGGAGGGAAAAATGCAAGAGATTTATTTCCTTTATCAAGCTACGCAGACGGAAGTCTCAATGCACTACTATATCTCCTTTGGATCAGAACTGTCATACTACGTGCCTACAAGACTGTAGGACTCTACCCTCCATGAGCTTCTAATCCTCTTAATATTAGAGCTTAATATCTCCAATTGCTCTACACAAATGCTTTTGGAATAATGGAGGGTTATTTCTGAGATCCGATATGGTGTTTGCCAACCACTATCTGAGAGATATCACCACCGAGGACGCCTCAGGTATCCACCTATTCGGTCCCATGGTCCTCGCACAACAGTTGACAGTTCCTCGAGAAGATAAGTCAATCTTACAGATTTCTACTTATCTTATAACAGTACTAAATAGCTACATGCTATATATATTTTGCTTAAGTTCAATTTATTATCTTAAGCTCAGTACTATGGTTATTATATCATACAATATGTAAGCTAACAACTCTAATGGAGTTTGTTATTATATATTTAGCTTAAGTTAATCATATCTTAAGCTTAGTACTATGGTTACATTATAAATATATTAGCTAACAAACTCTACGGAGTTTTTTGCTATTATATATGTAGCTTAAGTTTATTCATATCTTAACCTCATTACTATGGTTATATCATATAAGTATATTAGCTAACAAACTCTAAAGAGTTTTTGCTATCATATACTTAGCTTCAGTTTCATCATATCTTAAGCATTATGGTTACATTATAACATGTATTAGCTAACAAACTCTACGGAGTTTTTGCTATTATATATGTAGCTTAAGTTTATTCATATCTTAAAGCTCAGTACCGTGTTTATATCTTATAAGTATATTAGCTAACAAACTCAAAAGAGTTTTTACTATCATATACTTAGCTTAAGTTTCATCATATTTTAAGCATTATGGTTACATTATAAAATGTAATAGCTAACAAACTCTACGGAGTTGTTTTGGCTATTTAGGTTGCTTAAGTTAATTATATCTTAAGCACAGTTCTATAATCATACTATATATATGCCTACAACTCTTAGGAGTTCTACTATTATATATATGTTCAGCTTAAGTTTCAATCCTTAAGCTCAGTCATATGTTCATTTCATAACATGTATTAGTTAACAAACTCTCAGTAGTTGGTTACTATTATACAGCTTAAAGTATCATTATACCTTAAGCACAATTCTGTTATAACTTACATATATGCATATTGTAAGCTTTACTACTTTGGTTCTATAAAAGTATTCATTATAAACTATCAACAGTTTATACTATCACATTAATAGCTTTAGCTTAATTAATGTTCTATATACTTTTATTATATTCAGTAAATTGTAATAACCCTTATATGGCAACTGATAAGTTAACAGCAGGAATTCAGTTCAGTGCCTTCATGAAGTTCCCTTTAGGGTTATTACAATTATCTCTGTTCAAATCACTAATTAGTAAAATCCAAAGTATATATAATCCCACCTCCTATTCCGTAGGATTCTACAAGCAAATAACATGAGTCAGGATAAGAAAAATATGAAATTTTTAGAGTAAAATTAATATTTTTATACTTATCCTGACTCATGAGGTAAGCCCTCCCGCCCTCCCCACTTAACACTTTGGATTTCCCTGGAAATTCAGGTGTTGGGCTCAGTATATGAGGAGAGAGAGTGAGGCACATGGGTTCAGGGTGGCTCTGCTCCTCCGCTTGTGGAAGGGAGGTAACTCGTGGTCAGTGCTAATGAGTGATTTTTATTGAAGGAACTTCAATTGGGAGATACAAGTGTTCCACTAGATTCGCCAGAAGAAGAAGACAAGCAAATAAACATGAGTCAGGATAAGTATAAAAATATTAATTTTACTCTAAAAATTTCATGTTTTGACAACAATACAAAATCAATGGCACACATCAAAACACACTCAGGGATCAAAGATTATGTGTGTAATGTGTGCAACAAACTATTCTCCACCCAAGGGAGCCTCAAAGTTCATGTACGCCTACACACAGGTGCGTAAATGTTGGGGATGGAATACGTTTTTATCTGTATCTTCAGTTGAAATACTCAATAGAGATAACTTATATGATGACAGGACAAATGAAAGGGAAGAGGCTTTAATGGTTAGTTTTAGATTCTTCCACTGAATGCAGTGTTAAATGTGAAGTTATCAAAATGAAAAGTTCGATCAAAATAATGGTTGTTTCCCATTTACTTGCCAAGGATCCTAAGTTTGACTTGGATAACTTTTCTTAGTGGTCTGCAAATAAGAGATTTCAGATATCGTGGACATATGAGACATCATGCAGTGTATGATGACAGCATTCCAGAATGATGTGAGCCAAGTAGATCCGGGGTAGAATTGGTCTTCAGCAACCAATGCATGTCATAAGAGGCAACTAACAGGATCAGTGGTCAGGCTTGCTGACTTGGTTGACGCATGTCATCTTATCCCAATATCCTAGATCAATGCTGATGCTGTTGATCACTGGATTGTCTGGTCCAGACTTGATTATTTACAGACTGCAACCATATAGCTGGAATATTGCTGAGTACGGAGTTAAACAACAACCCAAAACCAACCAGAATGATTCCTTTTAAATCAAGCAGTTTTAGTACAAGTAGGAAGAAGGGCCTATGTCAGATCAACAAAAATTTATCATGTACAATTAAATAGCCCATAACAATACCATGTTACATGATGAGAGTTCACTTTACATATACCATATGTAGCCATTGATTATATGTTACTTCCAGGGGCTAAGCCTTTTGACTGCCCTCATTGTGACAAGAAATTCCGGACCTCAGCTCATCGGAAATCCCACATCCATTCACACTTCCGTGATAATCCTGACCGACGTCCTCGATCAAGGTCGTTACGACGGGCACGACAGGATGTATCTTTACCTGAAATACCTCTTCAAGAACCAATACTCATTACAGACACAGGTGGGTGTACTGCAAGGAAAACTTACATTAAACTGTAGGAGAATACTGCAAGAAATACAGAAGCTGCAGATAGTGCTCACTGTTTATGGCATTAGGTACAGCATGTAACAGCCAGGGCCTAGATTTTCGAAGCTCTCTTAGCGCTAAGATAGTCGTAAGTTAATGTTAGTGTATGGCACTTACGACTATCTTAACACTAAGAGAGCTTCAAAAATCTAGGCCCAGGACTCTCTTGCTGTTGTGGTGACTACTGATCTCCTGAAGTTCTCCAGCTCTGTGTAGTTGGTGTAGGAACCATCCACTCCCTCTCTGTCCATCCCTCCATTCCTTCCCCCCACACTCATTCTCATGCACTCCGACGAAATCTGGTGGCATTATTGAATTGGTATAACTGTTCATATTGTTTGCTGTTGTGCCCAGTGTCTCCCCACAGACTTTTACAGTTCCATTATGTCTTCTTTTATAAGTGCAGAATAATCTGCCTTCATGTTATCCAGATAATATGTGACAGGATCTGGCATTCACAGTTTACATTTATTTACTGAAATTATACAATTGTACCCTTACTAGTAATTGCTGCAAACTATATTATGTAATGCAGGCAAAGCTAAGTGTATCTAAGTATTATGAAGTATTAATAATTTCTGGTCTCCTTCATTAGGCAGTGGGGTAGCCTAATGGTTAAGTGTCCGCTCATCTGAAGACCTGGGTAAATTCCCCACATGGGTACAATGTGTGAAGCCCATTTCTGGTATGCCCTGCTATGATATTGCTGGAATATTGCTAACAGCAGCATAAAACCATATTCACTCACTCATTACCCAGTGTCGGGCCGGTGGGGTAGCCTAGTGGTTAAAGCGTTGGCTCGTCACACCGAAGACCCGGGTTCGAATCCCCACATGGGTACAATGTGTAAAAGCCCATTTCTGGTGTCCCCCGCCGTGATGTTGCTGGAATATTGCTAAAAGCGGCGTAAAACCATACTCAGTCAGTCAGGCATTACCCAGTGTCCATACAAGCATCTGTATCAAATTGTACCGATGTTTATATTTGCCATACAGGTTTAATCCAGCAGCCGCCTCGAAACAACAACGTGTTTAACCAGTACTTGGGGGAGTCCGGATCTGTGGACAGACCTTACAAGTGCCACTACTGTCGGCGCTGCTTCAAGAAATCCAGTCACCTCAAGCAACACATACGATCTCACACAGGTAAAACAACCCACAACATGCTGAAATCTAACACAGATAATCCACTTATCCACATTTCACACAGGTAACACAATGTATGCATTTTTCACACAGGTAACACAATGTGTGTAAATCTCGTACAGGTAACAGGGCATTGGGGTAGCCTAGTGGTTAAAGCGTTCACTTGTCACGCTGAGGGCATGGGTTCAATTCCCCACATGGGTACAATGTGTGAAGCCCATTTCTGGTGTCCTCCGCCGAGATATTGCTGGAATATTGCTGAAAGTGGCGTAAAACCCAACTCGCTCACACTCACTCACTCACTCACTCACTCACTCACTCACTCACTCACTCACTCGATTGTCATCTTAGAAATTTTCTCTTTTCAGGAGAGAAGCCATACCGCTGTAACACATGTTTCCGATCATTTGTCTCCAGTGGGGTGTTGAAGGCACACTCTCGAACTCACTCAGGTGTTAAAGCATACAAATGTCTTATCTGTGACACAACGTTTACTACTAATGGTAGTCTGAAGCGGCACATGTCCACCCACAGTGAAGTCAGGCCGTTCATGTGTCCATACTGCCAGAAAACTTTTAAAACATCTGTCAACTGCAAGAAACACATGAAGACTCACAGGTTAGTGGCTATATGTCTAGCTTTGGACACAAATGCCCCTTTTATATGTTACATACAGGCAAATGTTTCCCCATAGACTTCTATAGTTCTGACATCTCTTCTTCGCAAAATAATTAGGCTTAAACAGCCAATCCATGGGCTTTAATCTGGAATAGAACCACAGCTAGCAGTATACAGGAAGCTAAACACACCAACCTCAGTTCTGCATCAAGTTCCAACAGCTTGAAAAGATCTGTGCTCATTTTCAGCTTAAGTCAGCATACAGAGAGCACTATATACTGATAAGTATAGTGGTTTGATCTAGCACAATATCAATCACAGCTGCTGGATATTTCCCTGCATGCTCTATCTAGTATACGAATACGAAAACAACATCCAAAATGAAACTGAGTTTGATTTGGTGCAGTAAAATCTGTAGGGATCATTTTGTCCTTTGTCCCTATTAATATGTTCATGGGAAACGGCAAAACTGAAAGAAATGATCAAGATGTTCAGTCAAGGTCATAACAAGGTCATTGATTTGAGAACTATGTTTAGCTACAAACATTTATTGTAATTTGTCCAACTTCAGACACGAGCTGGCCCTACAGGCTCTGCAGAACGAGGAGCAGACGGTCACGGAAGGGGAGACCCAGTGTGTCGGGGATACTGTGGTTAACACAGATGACCTAACACAGCCACAGACAACTGCTGACCTGTCAGCTCTACAGCAGGATGACATAGGACACACTACCACCATCACGCAGCAAGAGTTTGTCCCAGTCACCAGCATCTCACAGGACCCTGGTGCCGTGCTTAGTCAGGCCACATTGCAGGATCTTACCGGAACAGTCATTGATCATCAGTTACAGCAGACGCTCAGTCAGCAGGTTAGTTGACCATGTCTTCAGCTTGTGTTTGTCTTTGCCATACCTCATGGAACTGTTCTGATTCAGGTTAGGGTTTATCTTCAGCAGCGAATGCTTGTTATAAGAGGTGTGAAAATTGGTTGGTTGGTTGTTTAACATGGCACTCAGCAATATCCCAGCTATATGGCAGCAGTCTGTAAATAATCGAGTCTGGACCAGACAATCTGCTGGTCAGCATCATGAGCGTGTGTCAACCAAGTCAGCAAGCAAGAGTACACAATCCTGTTAGTCGCCTCTTAAGACAAGCATGTGTTACTGAAGACCAATTCTTACCCGGATCTTCGCAGGCGAAAATTGAAGGTCTGCCTTGCTTGATTCAAGTAAATTATGTGTTATCAGATGGAGTAGGCTGATGGTCATAATATCATCTTATGGCTTGTCTTGTCCAGACTTGATTCTTTTAAAAGTGGCCATTATGTAGCTGGAATATTGCTGACAGAGGCATGTGAGTCAGTGAGTGAGTCAAAAATTTATGTTGTATCAGCAATGTTTCACCCATATTAAAATGACTTAGGTATATAAAATAAGTTCTCATTCATGTTCTCTTGTTTGCAAGCCATTTGTTGTCAGCACCGTTTTTATTGTTTTCTTTCCATTGTCTATAGTGAGACAAATACAATTTCGTATGAATAATCTTCATTATAACCTTTTCCTGCAGGTGTTTGGCCAGCAGCAGAACTTTGGCCAGGCTTTCCTAAATGGTCAACAGGGCTTTGGTCAGCTCGGTCAGACTGTCACCACCTCCCTGAACAGCCTTGGTGGTCAGCTCACAAATCAACTGACAACTCCTTTGGGAACCCAAGTGACAAATACACTCAACAGCCAGCTGAGTGGTCAGATGACATCCTTGACCAGCAACCAGCTGATGATGCAGCCCCAGACCCTGTCCAATCAGATGGAAATACAACAGGTCAGCCCGGCGTTCTCCGTGGCCACCCCGTCAATGTCCACCACCATGCCCAGCACCAGCATGCAGAACATTCTGGAGACAAGGTATGAAACTCTCAGCTGCTCCATTGTGTTGTAACCCGTGAAGATCAGGGTTAGAATTGATCTTCAGCAATCCATGCTTGTCGTAAGAGGCGAGTTGAGATGTGAACCAACAGTTGCTACAAGATGACATGAACCTGCTTCCTGTAATGTACTCATGATGTACTATAGTGGGCAGTCAGTGCTGTGTCTGTATGCCATGCAGATAACACTCGATACCTGTGAATATCTGGGTTAGAATTGATCTTCAGCAACTCATACTTGTCGTAAGAGGCGACTAACGGGATCGGGTGGTCAGGCTCGATGACTTGGTTGACACTTGTTATCGTATCCCAATTGCATAGATCGATGCGCGTGATGCTGATCACTGCTGATCTAGTCCAGACTTGATTGTTTAGTCCAGACTTGATTATTTACAGACTGGTGTTAAACCCATGTAGCTGGAATACTGTTGAGTGTGGTGTTAAACGACCATCAAGCAACCACCCATTGTGTTGTAGGTTGGACAGACCATATCTCTGATAAAAAACTCACTCATTCACTCACTCCCAGCTGTTATATTTGAACTGAGTTGGAAGTTGCTTTGAATCCTATTTGCAGGGAGGTTGAGGATGTCTCTGAAGACCAGCTGGTGGAGGAGACTGATGAAGGGGAGGTAATCATTGGCCAGGATGACCAGTCAGATGGCAAGAGGCTGTACATGTGTGAAGTGTGTGAGAAGTCATTCAAAAAGTCAAGTCACCTGAAGCAGCATGTTCGATCTCACACAGGTGAGTGGTAATGGGCTTTTTGCTGGAAGAACGATTGAAGGGAGGAGGATGTGTATTGGGTTTGTTTGGCTGACTGCAGAAGTTCATCTTGCTTGATGGTGATTATTATAATGATGATGATGGTTATTGCTACTGGTGATGCTTATGATATGGGTGGTGGTAGTGGTTCATCATGGCTGTTATACATGATGATGATGATGATGATGATGATGGGTGGTTCATCATGACTGATATAGACGATGGTGAAGCTCCTGCTGACACTTTTATTAAACTTTGATGTTTAGTTTTGCAAACTCAGGATAAGAGCCAATTGTTTTGACCTCATGTGACCTTACTCAGATATATTTTTTCATTATCCCCTGTATATAACTTTTGTGTCTAGGTGAGAAGCCATTCAAATGCCCAGAATGTCACCGAATGTTTGTATCGACGGGAGTGTTGAAGGCACATATGAAGACCCACCTGGGTATCAAGGACTACAAGTGTCACATCTGCCAGGCCACATTCACCACCAACGGTTCTCTCACTCGCCACATGATGATCCACAGCAGCCTCCGCCCCTTCCGCTGCCCCTTCTGCAACGAGACATTCCGCACCGCAGTCCACTGCAAGAGACATATGAGGGTGCATCGAGATGGCTCAGGGGCAGTACCACCAGACAGTGAGTACAGTTGCCACACTTCATTCTTTAATTCTCTTTTAGTATGTATCAATGACTCCCATGTGCCACTGCAATTTATAAAAAGGATCTAAACATAAAAGACAGGACAGGAAATCTTTTTAAAATGGATTCCACTTTTGGTCTCTATGCCCTGTCCTTGTATGTGTCTTGCTATGTAGATAGTCAACGACTGGATTTCCTTTGTCCCTAATATTCTCACACATTCTAGACAGGCGTGACGGAGCAGATTGATGACTTTGTCACCAAGCCCATTAAATTGTTAAGCCAAATTATATGCTGGTCAGTATTTTGGAATCTACCAACTTGCATACCATATTCACCATAAACATCCCAAGTGCTCAGAAAATTGACACTTTTCAAACCATACATGTGGGTTAAAATTGTTTTCAGAGCTTGAGGGGTAGTATTCAAATGTGTATAACTACTAATGTACCCTTTCTGTGCAGCTGTCAATAATCTATAAAATACAAAGAATATCGAGGCAGCCTATTTCTGGAGTCTTACATCATAAATCATGAAATCATGAAAAATTATTCTTGCCAATATGCTCACCTTTTGGTAACAAGTGATGTGATTGTTGATATTTTGCTACTGCAACAAATGACTGAGGTAGTAAGTGTATGCTGTTTATAAGGTGTGCCAGGGGATGAGGAAAACCAAGCACCTGCTGCCCGCCGCACCAAAGCCAGCATCCAGATCACTGAAGACCACACAGAAGAGCTGTCCAAGAATCCTGAGGATGAATTGTCTGTATCGGAGAAAATACTTTTAGAGTCTGCATCAGAAAAGGACAGAGTTAGTGAGGTAACTGCTTCAGTATTTGCAACATTTAGTTGATGTATTTTTTTTTTTGATATGCTCCACGTCACTTTCTTTCATGAGATTTACAAATAATTTTGCACCATTAGGGAAATAGTCCTACTGAAACTAAAGCAGCAAGCTTGACATTATCAGAACAGGTGCTGACTCAGACTGTATGTCATTACTTTTTGTATTGAAGCCTAAACCACGTCATGGCTGTTTTAGAACTGGTTTTCAACAAACCGTGGTTGTAATCAGAGGAGACTAACAGAATGGTTAAATCTGACTGACTTTCTTTATACAATTTATGGTGTCCCAACTGCCTAGACCAATGGTCATGATGTCAGTCACCAGATAGTCTGATCCAGACTCGATTAATCATCATTTATATGTGTGGCATTAAATGACTAAAACTTGAGATGTGAACCAACAGTTGCTACAAGATGACAAGCCTGTTTCCTGTAATGTACTCATGATGTACTATAGTGGGCAGTCAGTGATGTGTCTGTACTCCTTGCAGATAACACTTTTACAACAACGTTTACAGCAACCAATCCAATGGATACCTGTGAAGATCCGGGCTAGAATTGATCTTCAGCAACCCATGCTTGTCGTAAGAGGCGACTAACGGGATCGAGTGGTCAGGCTCGCTGACTTGGTTGACACATGTCATCGTATCCCAATTGCTGTTGGTCACTGGATTGTCTGGTCTTGACTCAATTATTTACAGATTGCTGCCATATAGCTGGAATACTGCTGAGTGCAGCGTTAAACAGCAACCAACCAACCATTGTGTTTTAGGTTGGCATGTTTGGACAGACAATATATCTCTGATGACAAACTCAGGGTTCATTCTAAGACATCTTTGCACATCTAAGATGTAGGGAGATCTGTTCTTATCCGAGTGACTCAATTATTTACAGATTGCTGCCATATGGCTGGAATATTGCTGAGTGCAGCATTAAACAAGAAACACAACAAACAAACATTCCAGTGGATTAAATCACAAATAATCTGATTAGTTCTCTCTCTCAGACATAAAACTGAATTATCTCCCCTTTTCAGCAAGAGAAACCGATTCCCCAGATGCACCACTGCAAACACCCACACCAGTGTAACCACTGTCCCAAGAGTTTCAAGAAGCCCAGCGACCTGATGCGACACATTCGCATACACACAGGAGAGAAACCTTTCCACTGCGACAAGTGTGGCCGGTCCTTCACTGTCAAGTCTACACTAGACAGTCACATGAAGACGCATGGACCAGCACAAGGTGAGAGGCAGCCTGCTCCTCACTCTGATCTATAATGAATAGTCACTGTAGAACATCTGGTACTTGTTGAGAATTGAGAGTGGTAGGGGGTAGCCTAGTGGTTAAAGCATTCGTGCGTCACACTGAAGACCCAGGTTTGATTCCTTACATGGGGGCAGTGTGTGGAGCCCATTACTGGTTTCCCCCGTGATATTGCTGAAATATTGCTAAAAGTGGCGTAAAACTTTACTCACACACACACTCACTCACTCACTCATTGAGAACACAATTACTCTTGTGCTATTAATAATATAGTAGTCTAACCTAGTGAAGGCCTGAATTTTGCCAAATGGTTGATAGTTGAGGGATTCACGCAGCTTTTGAATATAAGTCAAGTGAGAAGTGAGAAAGTCAGAGAAATGGACTAAGTTGTTAGCATGTTAAAATGAATACAGTGAAATGAATCACTTGAGTTACTGTGATGAGATAAAAGTTGTAAAGATAAAAGCAGCGTAAGACTAAACTCACTCTCTCACTCATAGATTTGGATGGTATTCATCTCAGGGTAGTGGCTCGGGGGTGAATATAGACCATGCATCATTGTCCTTGCTTGTGTACTCATGGCATTATCCTTTAACTTCCAGGTGACAAGAAGTTCAAGTGTCATGTCTGCAGCTCCTTGTTTTCCACGAAAGGCAGTTTAAAGGTCCACATGCGGCTCCATACAGGAGCCAAGCCATTCAAATGTCCTCACTGCCAGGGCAGGTTTCGAACATCTGGACACCGCAAAAGTCACATTCTGTCTCATTTCAAGCAAGACTTACCCAAGAAACGAAAAGTTTCACGCAGTGTGGACACATCCCATAACTTCCCCGTCACAATGGTCAGTTCTTCGGAGGTACCAGTGCAGGCAGGAGTTCCTCATCAAGCAATGTCCAGTCAAGTGGTCAGTGTTGACCCATCATTACTTCAGACACAGAGTATCGTGCCCATCTCGTTCACAGTCCCAGAGAATCTGACGTCGCTCAACGAGAGTCAGCTTGCTACACAAGTATTACAAGGCCTGGAGGGTATCCAGCTTCATTTTACCTCAGGGCTAGGCCAGGGGATTCAGATTGCTGGTCTGGATCCAAACATTCTGTCTCAAACTGTCCAGATCGATGCTAGTCTACTGCAGCAGCTACAGCAACAGGGTAACATCAACATCACCATCAACCCCAACGTCATCACACAACAGGTGCAAGCTCAGGATCCTAACGTCATCACACAAACTGTACAGGCCACAGACCAGGGTCTGTTGACACAGACTGTTCAGGCTGATGGAACCGTCCTGCAGCAGGCTGACCCTAACATCATCACACAGACAGTTCATGATCCCAACCTCATGCAGAATATCCAGATACAGCCAGTGTCCTCACTGCAGGACACAGTCAACCCCAATGTGATTGTCCAGCCCATGTCCAGTGTTGCTGTCACGCAGGTAGATGCACAGCAAGCTCTACAGGCTCAGAACATCACCCTACAGGCTCGGCCAGATATGGCTGGATTTGTAGTGCCCGACCATATGGATGTACAGGTAGGGTTTGTGGGGAAAAGGGGTCTTCAGTAACAACAGGCAACAAAACTGTATCCATAGTTTGTCCAGACTCAATTATTTATAGGCCATGTAAAATAACTTAATAGTATCAGGGAATTATTTTAGAAACAAATTGCCATTGGCATGGATTTGGGGAAAAAACAGTGGATTGGGATGTTTCTGGTTGTTTATCCTGTTCTTCTGTTTTGTTCAGGTTTCTGAAGTGTCTCAAATGGTTGTTGACCAAGACCAATCTCTGCTGAGCGACAACAATGATGATGATGATGATGATGATGATGACGATGACTACAATGATGATGATGAGGAAGTGCCGCTTGACGATCACAACTCAACCATTGTCCATGATGAAGACACTTCGTTAGACTTCCCCCAAGCCATGCCTATACATGACGAGAAGTACTCCCTGCAGAGGAACCACATATGTGGGGTAAGAACATGTCCATAGCCAGTATAGAACTGTACCATAAATAGTTGTAGAATTACTGATGCACCATAAAGCAATATTTATTCGTTATCAGTTATTCCTTCAAAATCATACTCTTTTGTGGGGATTCCAATGATCGTTAGGGTGAGGCATGACCAAAGTGTATTAGGTTGTGCAATCTGTTGAACAGAGTTCTGTCCCTTGAGAATCATGAATGCAATATATGCCCAGAACATGATCCACAGTTTGTCAGCAATATTCATGACCTGATCGACTTCACCAAAGTGTAAAATAGTTATGCTTTGCATCACTTCAACCTTTGCTGCCGCCATAAGCAATTTCTTAATAATAGCTAAAATACTATGTAAAACAGCATGAAACCCAACTAACTCACTTACAACATACCTATGAAGATCAGGTGTAGATTTGGTTTTCAGCAACCCATGCTTGTCGTATGAGGCAATTAGGGGTGATCAGGTTTGCTGACTTGGTTAACACAATTCATCGTATCCCAGTTGTGTAGATCGATGCTCATGATGTTGATCACTTAATTGTCTGGTCCTGACTTGATTATTTACAGGTGGTTGACATATAGTTGGAATATTGCTGAGCACATTGCTAAAGAACAAACACTTACAATACAGTTCCCTTTGAATTGCAGGTATGCCATAAAGCATTCAAGCGATCCAGCCACCTTGCTAAACAACAAACACTTACAATACAGTTCCCTTTGAATTGCAGGTATGCCATAAAGCATTCAAGCGATCCAGCCACCTGAAGGAACATCTGACCACACATGCGCCAGGCTCTATTCCCAAGAAGGTGAAACCTACTCCACATCGATGTCAGACTTGTGATAAGGCTTTCCAGAAACCCAGCCAGCTGATGAGGCATGAGCGCATACACACTGGTAAGAGGCTGGGGTGCTTCATAGTAGCAACGTGTATCTCCTTTAAGATCAGGCTCATTCATTGAAAGCAACAATTGTTGCAAAAGTGATGAACTATCTCCTTTGTCAACAAAACTAACCTTCACTTTACTAGAAACAAATATTTATCAGTCTTTATTGTATGAATTGGAAATTTATTTTGCATTTGTATTAAATTTAACTAACATTTTGTGACTCCTCAGGTGAACGGCCATACGTGTGTCATCTATGTGAAAAAGCTTTCAACCAGAAGAACGCCCTACAGGTGCATCTGAAGAAGCACAGCGGTGAGCGACCTCATCTCTGTAACTACTGTTCCCTGTCCTTCACACAAAAGGGCAACTTAAAGACACACATCAAACGTGCACATCACCTGGAGATGGTGCAGTCGATGAACCTGCCGCACAGCTTCGTCCCAGCAGCCACCAGCACCATCAGCATCACCTCAGCACCACCCAACACAGGCGATGACGAGGGATTGGACCTCTCTGAAGTTGTTGATCTCTTTCAACAATAGACACACCTTGAATCTATGGAGCAATATTGACAGTTCTGTGCACATGTTTACATGTTGTTTTGAACAAAGACCTGTATCTGAACGTGTTATTTGAAATGGAGCAATGATTTACAGGTCTAAAAGACTATGAATCAGTCGAAATGGATGTTGTGTAAGAAATGTCGGAATACCCATGACCAGCCTTGAATTAGTGGAGGTGTAACGTGTGTTACTCAGCAGCTCTTTGAGAGTTTCAATCTGTTTGTCGAAGCGGTGCTTAAAGACTTCGCGGCAAAGTCTGGGTTAATGCCCATTATGAGTGGACGATGATGAAATGGAATAAAAGATCAGTTAATTTTGGTTTACAAGATGCTTGTCTGAAAATATGACAAATCACCTCAGGCATTGAATTTAGCCAATCTGGTAAACCTGACATTTTAAGAATTATAAATCTTACAGGGAGGGATGTTTTATCGTTTTTGCAGGAAAACCAATGATATGTCTGATTGTGTTTGCTTATTTCACCAGTGCCAGGGAAACTTGCTTCTTCCTTGTTACAGCCTGACATTGATGTTCTTGCCACAAGCATGGACTGACGCACACTACACATGTGCGTCGTTCATGGTTTAAGTGATGTCACTATGCTCAAGTCAACCATACGTTTATTACAAGCATCTTTCTGTCTACATTAGTAGTGACAATGCTGTATCTTATGTAACCATTACGCCATTCTCATAAAGCTACTAACTTGACTGATAGCTGTGTGATCAGTTGTCATCCTGGATACTGTAACCTTGATCTCAGCATGGCGACGCACATGAAATGATGAATTTTTTCTTGCCACTTCAAACTGAATTTCAAACATGTGGTTATGTTTTTCATGATTTCTCTTTGTAAGTAAACAGTAAGATTATTTGTCATGTATCTGTTCCATTACTGAATCTGAATCTTATCAGCTGAAATGTATACACGATGCCATTTAGAAACTGGTCAAATGTAACATGTTATGTTTAGGATTACACTTTCTTAGTAAAGTTACAGATTCTAGTACTTTTGTTGGGTTGAATTCCATCCAGGATTCGAACCCAAACCCTCGGTGGCTGAGCGGGTTAGGTATCTGACTTAAATTATGTGTGCTGGCTATTAGGTGCCTGACTGTGAGGGTGTGTGTTCGAATCCTGTAGTTCAAAGTAGTAGAATCTTTACTTTACTAAGAAAGTAATCCCAAATATCACATCTGAGAAATGTGTCTATATGTATCTATCTTGGAAGAATATGTGAATCTTGAGCATGACAACATCTTTACTATATTTCACAAGAGCATGTCTTCTAATTCCACATGCATGCACTACATATTATGGGGTTTGGTGACTTTATATGACGATCCACATCCCAGGAGTTGTAAAGCTGGGTCATCTTGTATATATATGGTATTAAGAAATCAATATTCACCACCAGCATCTATGAATTGGGTCATTGCCAGCAGAGCGGTTGAATATTGATGAATTGGGGATTGCAAGGCATATGATTATGGTTGGGCTTTCAAGAATCAAATGCCCAATAATATACAGTAAACATATTGTGCAGTCTTATGTTTGATATGAACAGTGATGTTGTTAAGCTCTGCACAATGTAATCTAGTAAAGATTTACTTTCTCCTCTTGTTAGTTAAATAAGCAGAGGGATTAAATCTGTTACTTGAACTGTCATGAAATGGTGAGTAGATATTTTGTATTGAGTGAGCTATGCCTAGACGTCAGCATTATGTCATTCAACAGAAAATCCAACTATGAACCTGGGAATCACGGCAGCTACATCCATTCTCCAGGTATTGTTGTTGATCTGCAAGTTGAACTTGTTGATGTTGTAACTCAAATGGGATTCCATGCTTGTTAACTGACCAATGCATGTTCAAAGAATGGATGGAATTTTGAAAGTCTTTTATTTATTTGAATTCTCATCAATGTCTGTCTGAAGCAATTGTTTTCATACAGATTAAATCTGTTGTTGGCCATTTGTTATGAATTTTGTGTTGTGTTCTTATTTCAATCACTATATGGGACCTGTGTGGGCATATCAGAGTTAGAATAATTTCTCAGCAACCAATACTGGTTAATAGAGGGGACTTTATAGATCGGGTTGTAACCCCTTGGTGACTTTGTTGATGGCATTCATTAACCTGTGAAGATCCTTGTTAGAATTGATCTTCAGCAACCCATGCTCGTAAGAAATAACTACATGTAACAGGATCAGGTGGTCAGGCTCACTGACATGGTTGACACAATTGCAAGGATTGCTGTTGATCACTGGATTGTCTGGTCCAGATTCGATTATTTACAGACCTCTGTTACATAGCTGGAATATTGCGGAGTGCAGCATTCAACAACAAACAAAACAAACATCATACCTAGTGGTGGAAACTGTTGCTTGTAATCAATCATTAGAATATTTGGGACCAGGTTCAGATATTTACATAGCTGGAATATTGCTGAGTGTGCATAAAACAACTAACACACATGAAAGTAAGACCCAATTGTATGAATGTGGAAGCCAAGCTTTTCATTGGTTTCAATCCCACATTCACATATAAAAGAATCACGACCCCCTTCAAGATCGGTACATCCGGTCCATCACCTGCGTGTCGGCATGCCCTACCAACCGTGACTGCCACACAAATACCAGGTTTGAGGAGAGTGTCAGCTCAAGCGATTAGGAACCGTCTGAAAGAAGCGGGTTTACGTGCCTGTAGACCAGTTGTTGGACCTGTACTACGCCCCTACATCGACGCCGGCGACTCAGGTGGTGCAACAACGTGGGATACGGACTTTACAAAACTGGAGGCGAATCTGGTTTTCTGATGAATCACGCTTTTGCAACGCCACGACGGAAGACAGCGCCTGTATAGGAGACGCCATAACGCTTTATGTTTCCATCTGCGTCCGACAGGTGGACAGATTTGGCGGAGAAAGCGTCATGGTTTGGGGAACCATCTCATACAACCAGAAATCAGACTTGGTGATCGCTTCAGGAACCTGACAGCCCAACGCTACATCAACCATGTGTTAGAGCTTCACCTTCTCCGATTATTGACCAACAGACACAGATTTTTCAACGGGACAACGCCCGGCCTCATACTGCACGTGCAACAATGAACTTTCTGCAGAATTCCAACGTCAATGTCTTGCCATGACCCTCTAAATCACCAGACCTCAACCTATTGAACACCTGTGGATACTCTGGATCGACGCCGACGCCAACGCCAGCGCGCCACAGACGCTGCAACAGCGTACCGTTGCACTGCAGGAGGAGTGGAGAGCCATTCCCCAGGAAAGAATCCGGCGTCTTATCCGTTCTTGTCCAAGGAGATGCCGTGCAGTGATTGCAGCGCGTGGTGCTCATACGAGATACTGAGAAAGACGCCCCCCTGGTGACAAACTGGTGTCTGTGAGATGACTTTTGAAATGACAATTTTAAACATGCCCATCTGGGTTATTATTCTGCCAAATTTCAGACTTCTGTCTTAAATAATAAAAATGCCGTGTCGTCCTCAAACTTCAGATCAAAATCTCTAAAATACAGGGGTTGCGTTTCTTTTTTGACAGAGTTTATTATGAAAATATGATCAAATATAAATACTTCTCTTCTGATAGACCCATACTTGACCCAAAAAGGCTCAGTATCCAGATACATGTGTTGAAGCGTTTGCCAGCAAATTATCCAAATATTCCATCACTTTAATTTAACAACAAAAAAGGCATACACTTCTCATAAGAAGTTGTCACAGTGACCTACAACTGTTATAAGATTGTATTAAGATTTGTACTGTAAGAGTGTTAACAAAGCATAGCACTTTTCACTGCTGAAGAGTGAGTGAGTGAGTATGGTTTTACGCCGCTTTTAGTAATATTCCAGCAACATCACGGCGGGGACACCAGAAATGGGCTTCACACATTGTACCCATGTGGGGAATCGAACCCAGGTCTTCCGGGTGACGAGCGGATGCTGTAACCACTAGACCACCCCATCGCCCTCATTGTTGAAGAAAGAAGAGGACAAAAAGATTATTCTGACAAATGAAAGAGGAGCTAAATTAAAAACCAATTAGTCACCATTGCAGATGATAGGGTGTGTAATTTATCACAAATATTGAATCGTAACAGTGTCTACCATATGCTCACAACATTAGTGTCGAGACTTAAAACACTCTATCAACCTGAAACTAGTTGCATATCAATGCTTCAGTATTTTCATAATCTGTAACCACCAGAAATATCTTAACAAGTGATACGAAATTCATTATAATAAATGCTCTTGGTACCACTGGTACCAGCTGAAAGATCAGTACAAGAATCCTGCAGGTTTCCTCAGATTATATCAGGAAGCAGGTGAAATCAATAAAAGTGTTGTCAGGTAACTATGGCAATGGAACTGATGCTACTGAAGATGCTACTGAAATATTACAGACAAAATGCTATATGTAACTCTTAAATATTACAGTGTTTCTTCTATAATGATTGATATGTTGCACTTACAAGAAACTACTGAACAGTCAAGCTGCCAAACACGGTCACCCCTCCAAGGGCTGTCCATGACCAATGCTGTTTAACTTTACCTGGTTTGTGACCTGGGCTCTATGCACAAGACCACAAAGCACCACTGTATATTGAACACTTAAAATACCATTTACATATGTAACATGAACACAAACAGTAAACATATTTCTGGGGCCCCGCCCGTGATCTGTTATATTGCTAAAAGCGTAAATGTTGAATATTGGTTGTGATTAAACACTCTCACCAATCAGTGAGTTTCGATTTATGCTGCATTTTGCAATAAGATGGCGGGGGACACCAGAAATAGGCTTCACACAATGTACCCATGTGGGGAATTGAACCCGGGCCATCGGCATGAGAGCGAACACTTTATCCACTGAGCTACACCACTTAGGGTGATGGGGAGACTTGAAGCATTAGCTCATCCCACCAAAGACCTGGGTTCAATTCCCCATGTGGGTATACTATGATATTGTTAAAAGCAGTATAAACCATTCTTGCTTAGTCCTCACCTCTGAAGTTATATGTCACTGAATATAGGTGAGCTTCTGTACCTCTGTGTAAGTGTTAAATCCAAGATGCTTGATAATTGATTTATTACGTAGTAGTCACTCTGAAAACATAGTTTTTTCCCTTCACGAAGACAGTTATTGAGGTACCAATGTGTTCTTTAAAATTTAGCTCACCTTGACATTTGGAGTTATTTTAGTTTTTTGTTGAAAACAGAAATAACTGAGTTAGTTATGGTGTTTTAGTATGATTATTCTTCATATTTTGGGGCGGTGAGGTAGCCTAGTGGTTTAAGCATTTGCTCGTCACAACGAAGACCCGGGTTCGATTCCTCTCATGGGTAGAATGTATGAGGCCCATTTCTGGTGTCCCCAGCCATGATATTGCTGGAATATTGTTAAAAGCGGAGTCAAACTAAACTCACTCACTTAGTATTTGGGGATACACAAATGTGTTGAACAGCACTGAAATGGACACTGCAACAGTTCATTCCAGTGAAGTTATACAGCCTTCAAAACAGTCTTTTCTCATCACAAATAATGGTAACATATTGTTTTCAAATGTTAGGCATGTTTCTTCTTAAAATGTATGATGGAGAAAGGTCTGGTTTTATTTATCCAGTGTTTCTACGAGTGCTTCAGCTTGTGGAGAACATACAAGGTAAGCTTCAGTACTGAGCAGCTTTTTGCAATCACATCGTTTTTATAGCATGGTTCAGAAGTGGACTGTATTGATCTGCACTTGATGCAACAGAATGGCAGCATACGTAAAACTCTCAGACATCACAGATATTATTTTCTACTTTTGAATAAAACTTACCAGACATAGTATATTAATTTTTCACATCCACAGTTCATTGTAAATGAAAACCCATCAAATTGTTTCAGATCAGAGAGCCATCAGTTTCTGTAGGCAAGGATAAATGCAGACAGAGTTCTCTCCCTTACATCAAGCAGTCAGGATGTTTGTCTGATGACTTCAAAATATGTGCTGGTTTTAATATGTTAGGAATAATTATTTCTTTCACATTAAATAAAAAAACATTATACAAACTTGAGGTATAAATATATTTTATTTGCTTTGAAATAAAAGAATAACATGATAATTTGGTGGAGAGAAAGAGGTTGGCAAGATGCCAGACTAAAGCTGCTGCGAGTTTTGACACAGTCACTCAGAACTCACCAGGTATGGGAAATATATGTAATACTGTAAGTAATGGTCCTATTAGCTCCATACACTGTCAGAAGGAATCACCTAGTCTGTTTTATAAGCTGCATATTTCTTTTTTTCAAAATTCTTGAATTCTTCCGGCAAGTCTGTTTAAAGATTTGTACCATGACTGAAGAGGTGTTTTGGCGAATATACAAATCAAACCATTGCAAATGATAAAACATTTCTTTAATAGCACGGGTTTCAGATCTCAATAAAACAGATCTTTGTTAATGACCGAAAGTGACCCAAAGAGTGTCAGCAATGTAAGCTGTGTCATCCCTTCAGATCTATGTAGCAATGATAAACATGTTATTACATGGTTACAAGGAAGAAAACTTAAGTAGAACACAAAGGTGGTGAGTCATCTAAATATTCAGATTCCTATTACACATATTCATTCATTACTATTCATGATACGATATTTGCAAATGTTTCATGACAATGATATATTATTATTACAATGTCCGTAAATGTTATAGAACTAAACAACGACAGATCAAGTTCAGTTGATTTTTACATATTGATTACCCTTCAATAAATGCTTAAAAAATTATTCATGAAAATAATGCATAACTATTAATGACAATCATGCATCACTCATCATGGTGCATTATTTGTTTATGTTAATAATGCATTTACGCTCATGATTATTAAAAATAATAATAAAATTCATGATAATGCATCAGTATTCATATATTTTTTAATCAGTAATCCATACCTTGTTTACGACTTTTTATGATGATAATTACTCTAAATGATGATAATGCATTACTATGCATCATGTTACATATTCTTATTCTTGATGATAATCATCCATGGCATCATTCCTTCAACAAATTCCTCGTCATGGAAACATGACCAATTTTTGTCCTGATCAGTTGTACTGATCCAAAGAACAATAGGTTGAAAGGTAATCAGCTGATCGGAAACAGGGTTGTCAATCTTAATACTGATGAATAGTAGTTCTAACAGCTCTGTCAAAAAGCATCAATTACACAATGTCAACAACTGATCAATAACATAGAACACAATAAATCAATAAAACAAAAATGGTTCAATTATGTACATTTCATAGCACTTCTGATAATACTGGTATCTGGGAATGTGTTGTTATTTAGGAAGTCTAGGCTAGCTACAATCGGGCTATTTGATATTCTGACATAACTAAAACAAGTTTTGATTTCATTATTCTTCATATTCATTATCAGATAGCAGGTATATATTTCTAAATTAGCTTGTGTAGTGAAATGCCAGTCTCTGCAGCCTTGAATACAATGATTTAAAGACTCTTTGGCCTATATTAATAATTGAATTATCATTTTTCTTTTTTTCCTGAACAGAGAGGAAGGGGCATTTTCATTGTTTATTTATTTCTAAAAGCATGACAAATTTACAGATGCTGAAACACCATAATACTCTGAGGGTGGCAAGGTTGATTTATTGATTGTTTGTAGGTTAACGCTGCACTCAGCAATATTCCAGCTATAGGGTGGCAGTTTGTAAATAATCCAGTCTGGACCAGACAATCCAGTGATCAACAGCATGAGCATTGAAGTTTTAAGTGAAATGGGTGGGAATGCTAAGATAAAGAAGAACATATTTCGTATTTTTGTAGATAACTTTAGCCTTTTAAATTTGAAATAGTTGGTTTACAAAACTGATGAAGAAAATAAAGTTAAATTATTTTTTTTAAAAATATATTTGATGATATAATTATTAGCTGTTTGATTGACAAGCCCCTCACCCAGTGTGCGAAATAGCCACTGGCCCGTGGCGAGTAAAAATCAAGTCAGGCCAGTAAATTTCAATAGTCACTGGCCCAACTGGCTAGTAAATTTTCATGGGGTCATTTCGTAAATATATCACTCTCTCTGACTTGTTAAGTTGTAACACACTTTTAAATCATGCAAGATTATGGCCTGATAAAAATGGTCACCATATTAGAAGCTTAATGACAAAACCTGTGTGATGCCGACTATATCTTATTCTCATCTCTTTTTGTAATTTTTGCTTAGTTTCTACGTTCAAATTTCGGGCTAGTGAATTATTTTGTGGGCTAGTAATATTCAGGCATAGCTAGCTCGACTTGGTGGCAAAATTTGGAAACTATTTCGCACAATGCCCTCACCTGACAACTCCTGGAACTTCTTTTAAAGCTGACAATTAAAAATAACTCATTGACACCTTCATCAGTGCTCTTCAGCTGCATATCTGTGTTGGTATGAACAAAAATGAGAGAACTAATGTCATACCAAACAGAAATGCTGTAAGTAACGTCATTCTGCTGACTACTAACACTACACTTGATGTTTTGTCAAGATAAAACTTCATTTTTGACATACATTGCATTTTAGTCAAACATTTTGTAAACCAACCAGTACAAAATAAAATGGCCTCATCTTACACAAAGTATTCTACATACCTTCAGTTGAAATACTGAATTTGCACTTTTTGAAGACAGTTCAGTACAAGGAGCCATTCATTATTAAGGCAGTGTGTTCTCAGTGCCTGCTCCTATCATTCTCAAGTATATAGTTCTTACAGTCATTGGGGAACTTACCTGGACAAATCATTTGTGAAACTAACTGTGTCATAGTCTTTGTTAAATGAACAAAACTTCAACTTTTCTACTTCGATTGTAACATACTGCTCGGAACAAGTTCAAGAACTCATGATTCTTTTGATACTGATAGTTAATCACCTTCCTATTCCTACTTTTACTTGTTAACATGGGTAGAATATGTGAAGCCCATTTCTGGTGTCTCCCGCCGTGATATAGCTGGAATATTGCTTAAAGCGGAGTAAAACTAAACTCACTCACTCATTTTACTTGTTAATAATTTTGCCAAATGAAAATATGAAATCATAAAAATGTAACATAAAGATAATTGAATTTGATGAGGTTAGGAAATTTTATCTTATTGACAGAAACTTATAAAACAGAAAAAGCAACAATCAATTTGGGCATTTTTAGAAGATAAAATAATATTTCAACAAGAAAATATGAGCAGTATTTTGATGACTATATGAAATATACACCATCAGACATCTGAGTGACTGCAAGACACAAGTTAAAGCACATATGTAACATTGCTACAGGCCAAGTCGAACATCCCCTTTGGGGCACAACATAGAGTCGTATAAGGTTCATTCGAAACATGAAGAGTTGGTGGGTAAATAGTTTCAAAACACAAACAGTTTCCATACAACAGACAAACAGCACTTGGTCAAATCAGCTTTAAAATCAGTAAACTTACTCCAATTCCTACATAAAAAGGGAATTAAATTGCTTCACATTGTCACATTATCGATAATTTGTAAAACTCACATACTGTTTATCGTTTAAAGCTGTTTACCTATTTACATAATAAAAAACAAGTTGTCAGTTAAACATCATCTGAAAGTGATTTGACAGATTGTCAAACTGATTCTATAATTATCTACATCATAAACTTGAATAAACCTTGAATCAACGGATTTCAAACACTTAAAAAATGTAACCATATATACATAATTTAAAGCCCATCCACATTAGAATCACTTTGATTCAACATGTTCATTGCATATGTATTTACAGTACATTTGATTGACACAAATGAAAATGCTCATAAGAGCCTTGGGATTTCATAGAATGTTTGCAAGCTTGCACCAAGATGAAAATTATCACAAACAGTATAATGTGGTCAAAGAAAATAAAACATGCATACAAATTAAAAAGAAAGATGTAGAACAGCTTTGGTATATTTGATATGGTTCAGTAAGCAAGGAAATGGTTCTGTACACAATGGGTTCCATCTTCCTGTATCCAGGGTTATTCCATCTCCGCCATTTATTGGCCACGAGACACAATAGCAGGATTTGAGAACTTGTAATTCAGATACTAATTTGATAGGGTTTAAGACATTTTCCGAAACAGAAAAACATTTGATTAAAAATATTTTGCTTTTGTTTTTGTGTCAGATAGACTGGTACACATTATGTGATGGTGTTGTACACACCATGTGATATACACAGTGGTAAAACTGGTACACACTGTGATACACACACACTGTGATACACACACATTGTGGTACACACTACATAATGCACACACTGTGGTATACACACTGTGGTACAGACCATGTGATTCAAACTGTGGTACATGGTGGGAAACACAATTTGAAACCCATTTTGAGAAAACAATGTATTAGCTACAGTAAATATGATGATATTTCACAAATTGTTAGCCGAGAAATAATATGCTGATATTATTCTAATCATTCCGAGTGGCCAGTGGCCAATAGATATGGCATCAAGTCCAACAAGCCTGGAGTGTTGACGGAGGAAGATGTATTGTGATAGAACAGACCATGGTTAGGTATCATATTTCTGTCAAAACTATGACAGATTTTTGACAGGGAGCTGATCGTTTGATTTTAGTCATTCCATGAACCAAAATATGTAGTCTGACATATTCAAAAAGAATTCACAAAGTTAGAAGTTTCGCTGAAGTCACTAGTTGTAAGTACTTCTGAAAAACCCAAACCTTGTTTGTTTACTTGCTATGAACCTTGAGTGGCACAACTGAACTCAGGTTTATAAATGAAATTAACATAACACCAAAACTGTTTAACTTGACAAATAGCTGCAGATTTAGATTAATGAATTCATTTCATTATGATCTTCAATTACTGAATGGACATTTAAAAGACAGAAATCACTCACTATTGCCCAGAATCCAAAGATGAATATTCAGACCTTAGCTAACATCAGTATACGAATCAGGAGAATTTAATACATTTTCTTGACATCTTGAAATATCAAAAAGAATCATCTTAGCAAAAACCTTTGAATCTGAGTCAGTACAGTGTCGTTCAAGTAAAATAACTGCCTCGATTTGGCGAAAAGAGATTCGTTGATATGTAGATCATTTCTAGTTTTTAAGTGAGATTTGTCTCCACCATTTACAAACTTCCCAAGGATTTTCCATTTTCAAAAAATGTTTTTTTATGCGGAACAATATTTCAGCTATAGCCTAAATCAGACAAAAGTAATATTATGCAATATTTGTTTATTTTTAAAGATTATGTCAATGTTTTTTTAAAGATAAAAATTACAATCACATTTGGAATTAAAATTGTTTGCTCCACTGATGAAATTACCAAATCTAAAATCATTATTTTGATCACAGACATACTATGTTGGATTCTTAATTTAAGTAACAGAAATTATTTGCTTAAGTAAAGTCAGTAAGATCTATGACGGACAGCTGCTCTTGAAACATATTCAAAACAATAACTCACATAAATTGTACAATTATCATAGGAAATGATTTTGACAGCACTACAAGCAGAAACGGAACATCATGTAAAAGCACACAAAACCAACACAATGGCAAGATTACATATTTCTGTATCTTCAGTTCCATTACTTTCTTCCTCAGAGGAAAATATTTTATGCATATAAGTATTATGCAAATTCAGAATTATGAAATTTGTGCATTAAAGATGTTTTCAGCTTAATGAAATAAAAGTCACATCCAATTGTCTTGATATTTACAATGATGTCTAAAATCAATATCTATAAATCAAAGGTCACGTCTCAATCACAAAATTGCATATGTAATGTCAAAAATCAAAACTGATATGGTAGTTGTGGATATACATATATATATATAAAGCATTACAGCACTTGAAATGCAAGAGCACATGAACAGATGTTGAGATAAAAAAGAAAATATCAGATAAATGCCGTTTGGACAAGATAAAATGCAATATTTGGTAGAAGTCACATCACGTGGTCATGATATTATGAACATATTGGCAGGCTGCTCCAAATCGAAGCACAACATCACCTGGTTGAACCTCAGACAAGCAATGAGCTTCAATAACGTCCACCATACGCCAGTAACCTCCCTTTTCTACACCTACGGACATCACACATTATGACATAATTTCAGTAGCATATCCCCCTGTGAACAAAGAAACCATTCTAAAAATTAGTCAAATGTTTCCCAAGCAATGAAAACCTTCTAAATCGAGCTAACTCTTAAACTGGTCTCTGCAAATGATCTAGCATTGCCCAACTGACTTGATATCAAACAACAAACAGGTTAGTTTACAGGGCTCGATTTAAGAGATGTTAACCTACTTGCACCAGGTGCAACCTAAGATAAAAACCTAGTTGCAACAGCCAAATTCCAGTTGCACTGCTTTTATTGCAATGTAACATTGTAGATGCAATTATTTAGATGTCGCATTCAGAAGCATACCCACTCAAAACACCAGGTGCAAGTCAGACTAATAAGTAGGTTGCACTTTGTAATATTGGGTTGCACCAGTGCAAGTAACAAATCGAGCCCTGGTTTATCAAGTTCAACTGACATGGCTTAGTAAGAGTTACTTACAGAAGCTCACTCCATCATAATTTGTAACCATTATTCCAAAAATGAGATAGCTAAAAAATATTGTATGCATTTTGTTTTGTTTTTCAAACTGGCATGTGTTGTGCAAGACAACTCATGCAGACAGTATGGATGTTGTTTTAGACAACTATTGTGGTTCATGAAATAGAGCGAGTTTTTAATTTTTCCAAATGAAGAAGTTGAGAATGAAAATAGCATTACATTTCTATTACGACCTATCATGAAGACATCTTTAGAAAAGAACATGTAGCACAGTGAATAATTCAAAGTAACTGGTAAGGGCAGCATTTTTGTTAAGTAGCAAAGTTATAATTATTAGAATCTTTTTCAGAAACATTTTGTACTTTTTATGATTGTTCACTACTTGGGAAACATCCATAATCTTTGTGCAAATTACTTCCCCTTATTCGCAAGCTCATGTGCCATTTCATAATACTTAGTAAACTTGGCAGTGTGATCAAGAGGTAGGTAAACGTATGGACTCATATTGAAGGCCTCTTTGATGCCATACTTCTTGACACTTGACAGATGGCACCGGCTCAGGTGATAACGATAAGAGCCTTTAGATGCGAACTGTCTGCTGCAAGCTGCACATTTATACTCCAGCAGCTCGCCATCACAACCTATCAATGGGCTCCCACTGTCCCGAAGACTTGCCAGTTCCTCGGCTTGCTCATCCAGATGGTAGTCATCCTCATCATCAGACTTTGAATGTTTCAGTGAAAGATTTAATGGGACTGCCATCATTTCTGAGGGAGACATGAGATGTCGACACGAGATTGGATCCATCTGCTGCTGAAGCATCTTGGGAATGTCCGTCTTTGTCAGCAGCCTCTGAAGGCTGTCCAGAGGGTGCTCACTGGTCATCGGTTGCCCGTACACAAAGCTGCTTAGAGAATCAAGCGCAGAGCCTTGTTTAGGTGTCGGTTGCCCTTCATCTACATTGAGGTATTTGTTCACAAGGGGCTCGGAGGGTTCATCAGATTGGCTTTCTTTGGCTGGTGATTTGGCATCGTCATTACTCATTTCAGACTTTGGCGTACTCGTCTTTCGCTTCTCTGCATCTTTGGTATCTGAGGCTGAAGCAGGATGAGCTGTCAGCCTCTCTGTCTGAGCAGTTTTCTTGTCAGAGTCTTTTGTGGATTTCTCAGGATGGGCCACTGCCCCTGCAGCCAGGGGAGTTTTCTTTGGAGCTACCTCACTGTCAAAAGGTTGAAATGAATTGAAAAACTTCCTCAGCTTTCCAAAATAATTAAAAGCTGAGTCAGCCTCTGTTTGAGCTGTTCCAGGCAGATGTAGAGTTGATTTGTTGAGTGGGTTCATCATATGGACCATGTTGCTTCGATGGTGGTCAAACTTGGAACTGAAGCTTCTCTGAATGAAGGACTCCATTGCCTTTAAGGCAGAATCCCCTCGGCCATTGGTTTCAATATTAGGATCAATAATGTCAAGGCTTACCCGGGATTCAGAACGATTTTCATCATTCTTTTGTGGTGAGCATGCTTCAGATCGATCTTGTAGACAGGAAGAAGCATTCAGCTCCTTGGCAGGTGAAACTGAAAGACTCCTCTCTTGTTTGACGGAACATGGAGAGAGTGCAGACTCAGCTGGGTCTGGACTTGGAGCATCAACTTCCTTTTTTATTTCAATATCAAGGGGAAAGTCAGAGGATTCTGACACACTGTAATTCATGCAGTCAGTTCCATCATTAAAGTTCAATTTATTTGAATTAACATCGTCCACGTTTTGATGTTCTTTTGGTTGATTAAGTTTTTGTGGTTTGTCCTCCATTTCAGTTTCATGGACAGTTGGACTGCTAGAGCAAGGAGAAGAAGGTGGTGATGGAGAGTTCTTAGAGGGGGAGGCAACTCTTGAGTGTTTCTTAGCCTCATCAAAATGTTTAGGGGAGGACACAGATGAGGAACTGTCCCGACGATGCCGCAAACTGTCATCCATTGTCAGTTTTTGTTTGAGTGCCCCTATGACATTTGATTTCTGTCGCAGGCATAATCGAACATGCTCAACGAAATTATGCATTTCAATTTTATGTCCACAGTTTTCACATGATATTGCGCTTTCTATGCCAAAACCTGAAGACTCAGAAATAGGGCTGAAGCCATTTGAGCCATGGGATATGCACTTCCTTTTATACTCCAGCAGAGATGCAACTGTGGGTGTTCCACATGCACTACTTTCCTCACTGTAGTATCGCTTTCGCCGAGAACGCATACCCAGGTCGGGATAATTCTGAGTTCTTAACACCTGTTTTTTGTGATGACCAGACATAATCATATGATTACAGAGTCCTTCCATGTCAGTGAAAGGCTCATGACACACCTTACACTTAAATATGCATTCTCGATCAAGTTCTTTTTCACAATAAGCTGAACATTTGTGAGATCTGCGTCCATGATCTGAGCTGACAATCTTCGTATAGTGCTGCGTCTGCATCATATGAACAGTTAGCATAGGCAAAGACTTGAAGGACTCCCCACACTGCATGCACCGCAGAATCCTCCGCGTCTGCTCGGATTCCTGGTTCAGCCACATGTCCTGACCGCGGACTAACTTGGGGTAATCCATGAGATTTGTTGCCTTTGCTTGTCCTGGGACGTGGCCTGTTTCCTGGAGGTGCACACTCAGAGAGTAGAGAGTAGTAAAGTTTTTCTGGCAAGAACATTTGTGCATTGTGTACTTGTTACTCTTCTCGTCAAGTTCGGCTTCAGTTGAACTCAGACGGTTCATCTTTTTGGCTGGAGACCCTCCGACATTTGCAACCTTCTCGAGTTTGGGCGATGGTCGTGGTTTATGGCTGTCCAGTGTTGGAGAGGTTCTGGCGTGGTTCGGGGAAGGAATGACCAGTGGTGAACGAAGCAAAGGCTTTCCTTGGATCATGGTGGACTGGAGTGGGATACTGTTGCTCGGGCGACGAGGAGGTTCTATTGGAAAATCTCCTCCAAATCTCTGCTGGAGACTTTGCAGACTCGAAGGGAAAACTGAAGGAGAGAAATTTGAATGGCCATTTGACACAGCTCGCTTCACTTTCGCTTTCTCCTTGTTTGCCTTTTTCGAAAGATCAAGAGGTTGATCAGTGTCCTGATCCAGGATATCAGAAAAACTGGAAGCTTGGAGAAAGGATTTTGTCATGCTCTTATTAGTTTGTGAATAATGGTTATTTTCAGTCTTTGACACAAATGCTGCTGTGGACACAATCACAGAAGGGGATGATGTGGGACTCTTGGAGTGTTTGGTTGGGCGAACAAGATCGGAACTAGGGACATCCATTTTCTCTTTTCGCTGGGTGTCAGCATGTGTCATGCTGGTTGGAGAGTTACTGCACTCCTCAGTAGGATCAGAGGTGCTCGGTGGGGGAGGATGATCAGCGTCTGAATCTCGCGACTCAGTTGCGGCTTGGTTGTTGCTGTCAGGACTATTCATGGGTTCATCCTCCTCACCTTCTTCATCTGAAGTCAGCTCAGAGTCGTCTCCCCCTGACTCAGATGTTTGTTGTTGACTGCCGGTACCGTCTTGAGACGTGCCTGAAACAGCAAAACAGAAAGTAGAAGTCAGGGTACAAACAGCATCTATCAACTATCACATCACACTAAAACATTTCAGAAAGATAACTCAAGATGGAATGGGTTTCACATCATAATTCAAGACAACAGCTTCACCATGGAAACAAGTGAGGGAACATGTTTATTTTCAGCAATTTTCCAGCAATATCAACTATAATCAAGACAACATATTTTGTGTGGGTATGCATCCTATCCCAATTGTGCATGCATCCTATCCCAATTGCGCATGCATCCTATCCCAAATGCTCATGTTGTTTATCACTGGATTGTCTGGTCCAGACTGGATTATTTACAGACCGCCGCCGTATAGCTGGAATATTGTGGAGTGCGGCGCTTAACAACCAACCAACCAAAAACCAACCATTCTGGTCATCTGGACACAGCTACAGTCTGGGACATGTGATTACGCATTTAACTGCTACAGTTACAGATACCAGTGTGTACCTCCAGACAAGGCACCATTCATTGTAGAAGCTTGTTTCAACATCTCAAGAGCTGATCACCTCGCCAGGGGCACATACACTGTTGTTAGATAGCTGACGTGCTGAGAGATTAAGGGATGGTGGTTGTTGTCAGCAAGTTTCTGTAACCCACTATTTTTCACATTAATTTTGACATGAGCTGATAAACACTGAAGATGCGGCAACATGTTCAGTCAGCCATGAAGCCAGGCCAGCCAGCCAAGAAGAGTCATAGAGTGAGCAGGGGGTTGAGTAAGTTGATTGAGTGAATTAGTGGGGTTTGAGTGAAGGACTAAGTTGGGTGGGAGGGTTTTCAGTGGGTGGGATGGGTGGGGTTTGTGTGAATGAGTGAATGAGTGAGTGGGATAGGTGGGGTTGAGTGAGTGGGATGGCAGGGGTTTTAGTGAATGAGAGTGGGATGGGTGTGACAGTGGATGGAATGAGTGAGTGGATGGGTGGGTTAGAGTGAATGAGTGGAGTGGGATGGGTGGGGTTTGAGGAATGAGTGAGTGGGATGGGTGGGGTTTCAGTGAGTGGGATGGGTGGGGTTTGAGTGGGATGGGTGGGGTTTGAATGAGTGGGATGGGTGGGTGGGATGGGTGGGGCTTGGAATGAGTGGGATGGGTGGGTGGGATGGGATGGGTGGGGTTTGAATGAGTGGGATGGGTGGGGTTTGGAATGAGTGGGATGGGTGGGGTTTGAATGAGTGGGATGGGTGGGGTTTGAATGAGTGGGATGGGTGGGGTTTGAATGAGTGGGATGGGTGGGGTTTGAATGAGTGGGATGGGTGGGTTTGAATGAGTGGGATGGGTGGGGTTTGAAATGAGTGGGATGGGTGGGGTTTGAATGAGTGGATGGGTGGGTTTGAAATGAGTGGACGGTGGGGCAATGAGGATGGGTGGGGTTTGAAATGAGTGGGATGGGTGGGGCTTTGAATGAGTGGATGGGTGGGGTTTGATGGAGTGGATGGGTGGGTTTGAATGAGGGGTTGGGAAGGAATGAGGTGGAGGAGTGATTGAATGAGTATGGATGGAGGAATGTGGGTTTGAAATGGGATGGGTGGATTATGGAATGGTGGGATGGGTGGCGGAAGCCTGGAAATGAGTGGATGGACCATGGATGGACACAGTTTGGAATGAAATGGAACAGATGGAGTGGGTGGGGATTGAATGAGTGGGATGGGTGGGTTTTGAATAGAGATGGTGGGTTTGAAATGAGTGGGATGAAATGGTGGGGTTTGAATGAGTGGGATGGTTTTGAATGAGTGGGATGGGTGGGGTTTGAATGAGTGGGATGGGTGGGGTTTGAAAGTGGATGGGTGGGGGTTTGAATGAGTGGGATGGGTGGGTGGGGTTTGAATGAGTGGGATGGGTGGGTTTGAATGAGTGGGATGGGTGGGAGTTTGAATGAGTGGGATGGGTGGGGAGTGGGCTTGGAATGAGTGGGATGGGTGGGGTTTGAATGAGTGGGATGTGGGGGTTTGAATGATGGCTTGGAAAGCTTGGGATGGGTGGGGTTTGAATGAGTGGGATGGGTGGGGTTTGAATGAGTGGGATGGGTGGGATGAGGGGATGGGTTTGAATGGGTTGGGTGTGGGATGGGTGGGGTTTGAATGAGTGGATGAGTGGGTGGGGTTTGGATATGAGTGGGATGGGTGGGGAGGGATTGAATGAGTGGGATGGGTGGGGTTTGAATGGTGGAGTGGGGTTTGAATGAGTGGGATGGGTGGGGTTTGAATGAGTGGGATGGGTGGGGTTTGAATGAGTGGGATGGGTGGGGAATGAGTGGATTGAAATGAGTGGGATGGGTGGGTGGGAGTTTGGGGTTTGAGTCAATGAGATAGTGGGATAGGTGGGGTTTGAGTGAATGAGTGATAAACTTGGAGTGAGTGCATTTGTGACTGATTGTATGAGATGATTTTTGAATGAGTGGCTGGGTGGGGTTTGGAGTAATGTTTTAGGAGAGAATGTGGCTTGTGAATTATTTGGAGGTGGAAACCTACAATTAGTAGTCACATCACAAGGATTGTTGAACACAACACAACATGATGCTTGACAGCAATACCCTCGATTGCTCTATATGCTCGATATGAAGACACACTATACAGATGATACACAAGATCTATATGCCCACAGACACGTAAATGAGTATGTGATCCAATAACTGGATGAATAGAATTTCAAGAACGGGGATGTAAGCTGACTTCCTTGTTCGATTTATGACAGATCAGCAGCATGAGACGCATTATCAATATATGAAAGTGCGAGGAATTTGCCTAGTCTCAAACTGATTACAGTTCCTAAGCTATCCCAGACGTGGGATAATCCTGATGTCAGACAGACTGAACATGATACAAAGCAGTGTGTGTTTGTAACCATCCCCACCCTGTCAGAGAAACGCTCATCGTTACACAACTAAAACTACTGCTCCGACAAGAGAAGCGTTTATTGGAAATGGGTGCTCTGACCAACGTTCAGAAGATTGTGAGTCTGGCAAAATGAACATATTGTGATATTAATCTTGACAGCAAGATCAGAATGTTAGACGGCACAGACATGCCAAGGGGGGCAATCTTCAGGGATTATCAGCATCAAAACCATCCAGCATCACATGCATCATTCTACAGGGGAAGGTGACTGCAATGGCTGCTCAGAGCGGTATAATAGACATCAGTTAAAAAATTACACCTGAAGTCGAGGGTCATTGTTTTTATCTATATGTTAGCATTCAAAAGATTTCAAATATAAAGACTGCAAAACAGAATTACGAAAAATAAATAAATTTCAAATTGATATATTGTTTACAATGTGAACTGATGTTGAATGCAGAAAGTTTATAAACAGATAAACATGTTAATGCAGAGCTAAGCTACTGGAATATTCAATTGTGCTTAATTGAAATGTGAAACGAACATACATAACATTAAGTATGTCTTCACATCCTCATTGTGAATGACAAGATATGACTTCACATATACATGTATTGTCAGGTGCCATGTTTTAAGATCTCTCAAAACTTCAAACACGTTCTCTTTGTTGATATCTACTATATTTTCTGCTCGAAATATATCGCCATAAAAACATGAATATTGCAGTAACCTCAAGTTTGAATTTTGTAACCTATAACTGTATATATAATTAAAAGGCATTGAGTATTCTTGTATATACAATTATATTAAAATACCTACAGATAACCACTGAGAAAGAAGTACTTCAAATAATAGCGTCTGTGGTGACGTCAAAATAACGATTTTGATCAGTGGTGGTTACGGTGATGCTATACCTCAACCAATCAGAATCAAGCAGTTCTAGATACCTCCACCAATCAGAATCAAGTAGTTCTAGATACCTCAACCAATCAGAATCAAGTAGTTCTAGATTCAAGGTGGAGTTAGCTTGACAATACATTTACCTTCACATCAGAAATATTTGAATGTAATATACACACAAACGTTGGACAATGATGTGTTTTTAAGTCATTACAAATTTGAATACAATATAATAGTATTATTATCTTTGTACATTCTCCCACCTTGTGTTGTGTAAACATGTTTATCTATATATATTCTCTCTGTGCAATGATTCAGTATTCACCTTATGAAGGAGCAGGAATCAGCTCTGAGACGTCGTATAAAGGATAAACAGAAGTTGTTATCCATAACAACGTGTCATGTTCATCCAACTTCTAAATGCCTTCCCAGAACTTCATTACAAATTAATCATTTATCTGAAACCACACCTCAATTCATTGTGTAAGTAGTTACAGATTAAGACAAATTGCTATGTGTGTTTGTTTCTTTCTTAACTTGTCAAAATATACTATATACTCGTCCTATTAAACAAACATGCATTTCATTTAAAAATGCCCTAAATTACCTCCAAAATCACAGAATAGATACGTGTCAAATTGTATTTAGAACATTAGAAATTTACGCGTTTTACTTTACAAAGTGAAATGTACCCATGTCCGATCCCAGGCATAAGATAGCAGATGTAGGAAGCATTCCAGTAAATGTTTATGTACATACTTAAATATAAATCATAGACGAAATGACTGAAAGCACAAGCTAGTGCTGTCCATACTTTTTTATACTGCAGCGAAATGTACTGGAGGATATTTACGGGGGTCTGCACTGTTGCAGTGGTCGGGACAACAATGGTGGCTGTAGCTGATGGTGCACTGTTTGCTGATTTTGTATAATTTTTTTCTCGTCAGAACGGAGGGGATTTGAAAGCCATCTTGACTTAGACTACTTGATACAGACTTCGCACTTGTCAGATTGCAGCAATTTGAAATCGGTTCTGTGCATCGCTATGGTGATTGCATTGACAGATGTCAGGTGGATGAAATGACAGGCGACAGACATTTACACACGGAGGCGACAGCTTGTCTTTCTGCCATCCCAAGCAACTGCAAACCATTCCACAATGGGATTATGAGCTTGTGTGCTTGGCTAACATTGTCACTGTCAAATAGTCTTGTCCATAAATACAGTTCTTG